ATCTAAGTGCTCATGTATTTTATTATATTATTTTTTAAAATATATTTGTATTGACTTGAGAGAGGAAGGGAGAGGGATAGAAACATCAATGATGAGAGAGAATCATTGATCGCTGCTTCCTTCACACCCCACACTGGGGATCAATCCCGCAACCCAGGCCTGTGCCCTGACCGGGAATCAAACCGTGACCTCCTGGTTCATTGGTCGGCACTCAACCAACCACTGAGCCACGCCGGCCGGCTGCTCATGTATTTTATATTTTCATGTCAATACGAGTATCAAACATGAAGCACTGTAGTAGGAATATGAATTGTTACCATCTCTTTGGAAAATAGCTAAAAAAAAAATAGTTACTAAAGTTGAAAATAGTCCTACCTTTAACCCAGCAATTTCCTTTCTAGGTACACACCCTGTGGAATGAGCACGAGTGGGTGCACCCAGATATGCTTCAGAGGGGGCTCATAGCAACACTGTGACGACCCCCAACTGCAAATGACTCAATGCCCGTCAACAGTGGGCTGGGTCAGTAAGTTGTAATATACTCGTCAGTGGAGTGGCCGATGGCCATGAAAATCGATCAAGTTCATGTGCGTACAACAGGGAGACTGGCAATGCTGAGGAGAGAGGACCCAGGACACAGCTGTGCTGCTACCAAACAGGGGAGAGCGCAGCGCTGGCGAGGACGTGGGAGAGGGGAACCGCGAACCGCGTCTCAGTCGGGAGGAAGGCACCCTGGTGCGGCCGCCGTGGGAAACAGCCTGGAAGCTCCTCCAGAAATTACAGACGGAACGCCCGTCCGACTCATCAGCCCCACCTCTGGGTGAGCATCTGACGGAAACAAAGCCATTATCTCGAAGAGATGCCCGGTCTCGCAGGCTCATTGCAGCATCACTGACAACAGCCAAGGTGCGGAGACCACGAGCGCTCGTGCACATGGATGGACGGGGAGGTGAGCTCCACAGGCAGCCCTCCGCCTCCGTGGGTCCCACACCCGTGGCGACGGAAGGCTGCCTACGGCACTTGAGCATCCACAGATTTTGGTGTCCACGGGAGTTCCTGAAGTTAGTCCCCTGTGGGTACAGAAGCCCAAGAGGGATGACCGTATATGGACATATGTATAACGGAATAGTGTTCAGCTTTAAAAAGGAAAAAAATCCTGTCATTTGTGACAACATGGATGAACCTGGCATCACGCGAAGTGAAATAAGCCAGACAAAGACAATTACTGCACGGCCACAGGCTGGGTGCCCTTAGCTTAGCTCTTCACTCCCCTGTGCCTCAGTTCTCTTATGCGGGGGGGGGGGGGGGAAGGGAGGGAACAATAGTATTTGCACCATTGGATTTGTGTTAAGTTTGAATCTATAACTCGGTAGGTATCACTTATAACTCAGGATGTGGGATCTAAAGGCAGACTCGCCCTAGACCAGCCGTGGGCAAACTACGGCCCGCGGGCCGGATCTGGCCCGTTTGAAATGAATAAAACTATTGAAAAAAAAGTCCGTACCCTTTTATGTAATGATGTTTACTTTGAATTTATATTAGTTCACACAAACACTCCATCCATGCTTTTGTTCCGGCCCTCCGGTCCAGTTTAAGAACCCATTGTGGCCCTCGAGTCAAAACGTTTGCCCACCCCTGCCCTAGACGGTTTAACTCAGTGGATAGAGCGTTGGCCTGTGAACTCAAGGGTCCCGGGTTCGACTATGGTCAAGGGACCTGCCCAGGTTGCAGGTTCAATCCCCAGTAGGGGGCGTGCAGGAGGCAGCGGATCCATGATTCTCTCTCATCATTGATGTTTCTCTCTCTCTTCCTTCCTCTCTGAAATCAATAAAAATATTTTTTTAAAAAAATGTTTAAAGGCAGACTCATAGAGAATAGGAGAGTGGTTGCCAGGACTGGGGGGTGGTTGGTAAAAGGTCTGAGGACCTAATGAGAACACGGTGGCTACAGTTGATGGCACTATAGTGTATAATTGAAATGTGCTGAGAACAGCGTGCTCTCCCTCTCCTTTCCTCCCCTCTCCCACTCCCCCCGCCCCCCGCCCAGGCGACTTACCTTTGCCTTCTCTCTCCTAAGCTCCCGGCGCCCTTCTACCTCCATAACTTGCTTCCTGAGCCCACGCAGCCTGGCTGGCTCACTTCTACTACCTCTGTAACTCTCTAAACAAACTTCCTCTTATGATTTGAAAAAATAATTTGCTAAGAACAAATAATTCTCTTTGTTAGGAAAACGTAAGTAGATGGTCAAGTTATAGAGAAAAACAAGGCAGCCATTCTGACAACAAATAACGGGTCTCTGCCCTGGCCGGGTAGCTCAGTTGGTTAGAGCGTCATCCTGATATGCCAGGGCTGTAGTTCAATCTCCGGTCAGGCCACCGACAAGAAGCAGCCAATAGATGCATAAATAAGCGGAACAACAAATCCATGTTTCCCATCCCTCTCGCTCTCAACAGTGGGTCCCTCTCAAAGAAATGGAGAGGATTGTCATCAGGGCGTCCCACGGGGTGGCGATGGCATGAACCAGGTTAGTATTGTTTCCCGTTTGACCTGGGTCTTGCTGAACAGGTTTCTAGTGATTTGTTTAGACTGCAGACATGTGCATTACGCATCGTATCTCTGTTCAGAGTCACAACTTCAAAACCGATGTATCTGGGAGGTGGGACTACGGCCCTTGTTTTCTTTACAATTTTAGGGAAGTGTGAGCCGAGTGGTTACGGGCGTGGACGATGTGGGCAAATTTCTGCATTCATGTTGTTTCTTTCCTACCAGCTTCACAGCTGTGGGCGAGTTGCTCCGTCATAATGTAATCAGGCATGGGGCAGATAAGGGATGAGGCGCAGCAAGCATGCTCACACATTCGCTGTTAGAATGCTGAATGCCTTTAAACATGAGTATCTGTGTTTTGGCAGGAATTCGGGCTTTGTGTACGTTTGTATTTCTCACTCAGAGCTATGAAACAGAGGCCTAATGAACGCAGGGCACGTGCCCCCCAAACTGCCCAGTTCATCTGACCCACACCTGGGCCAGGGGTGAGGCAGAGGCAGGTGGCAGGGAAGGTCCAGACCCCAGGGAAGGGCTCCCAGGAAGTGCGCTCAGAGCACCGGTGTTGAACGGGAGGGCGGGGCTTCTGAGTAAAAGGGACCTTCAGGAAGCCTATGTCCAGAGTCGCACTGAAGGCCCTCATGGTGGCCCATAGGCTGTCAGAGTCAAGAGACCTGGGGCTGAAAGGGAGGGGAGGCGAGATGGAGGCGGGGCGGGCAGAGCGGGCAGCCTGATGGAGGAGTGAGGGGGGGGGGTGAGGGGGTGGGGGGATGGGGGGGCAGCACCCAGCCCTACTCCTCGCCCCGCTCCCAGGCTGCGTGGCTAGATTAACTCTTTTTTTTAAATATGTAAATCTTGATTGGTGAAAGTATTATGCATGTCCCCTTTCCCCCATTGACCCCTCCAGCCTGTGCCCGCCGCCTCTAGGTTAACTCTTACTCATCTGTGCCTTGGTTCTCTTATCAAGAGAAATGGGGAGACAAGAGAATTCGCCCCTATTAGGGTTGGGAGGAGTAAACAATTGGCTGTTATCAGGCACTTGGCACAGTGCCTGGCAGAGTAGGGCTTTGTGGACTAGCTCTGGGTGGAGGCCAGCTGCCCGGGGCCTGGGGCTGCAGGAATGGTTTGACCAGGGGGATGGGGTCACCTTGGACCGGGCCCAGGAAGAAGACTCCAACCAGCAAAGGCTGGGCTTCCTGCTAAGAGACCTGCCAGTTCTCACCAGGGCTGGGACCCGGCCGGGAGGGACCTGGCCCCTGTTCACACAGCCTGTTTCTTTTCATGTGAATAAGATTTGGCTGTTTTACTAAAGACGTGTGGCTGCCTCGTAAGAGATGCTGGACCCGGCAGGCACTGAGGGACCCAGTGTGCTGCCAGCAGGAAACTGACGTGCAGTCGGAAGCGTAGCTCTCGGCTCCCACAGGGGCCACAAGCATCTCCAGGAGGCTGCTCAGAGACGGCCCAGCCCGCATTTGCCCACCCTCCGCACACCTTAGGGCCACGCCCTGGCGCCCGCCGGGTGGGCAGCTGGGTCGGTCGGAGGGTCGGAGCGTTGTCCTGTGCACCGAGAGGTGGGGGGTATGATTCCAACTGATCGATGTTCCCTCACAGAGATGTTCCTCTCTCTCTGTCCCTTCCTCTCTCTCTCAAAATAAGAAATAAAAATCAATTAAAAAACGTATCCTCGGGTGAGGATTTAGGAAACGCCAAGCCCTGAGGCTGTGATTCCAGCAGGAACGACTCCAAGGAAACCTAAAACTGATCATCAATAGGCGACCAGCTTGCAAGCAGGACCCAGACGCCACGGACAAATGGGTCATCGTATGGAGAAGAGAAACAGCCCGGGGTGTAGGAGAGACAGAGATTCTTTGTCCAAAAGAAGCCCTTCCAGTGGGTGAAACCCTCGGCTAGAGTCACAGCCCCGCCCAGTGCCTGCCCTGAGTGGGTTAGTGAGATGCCCAGGCGCCTGGCACGTCAGGTTCCGCTCCCCCCGAGGGCGCAACCAGGCGCCTGACTCTGAGCCTGAAGCTGGTGGCTCCACCTAGGGGCTGAGCGACTTCCTGGAGGTGCTTCCTTCCTTCCCCGTCCCGCCTGCTTCCAGCTGCCCCAGATGTTACTAAAAATCCATACGAACTTCCCTTTGCTCAAATGTGTACCGGGAACCCCATGATTGCAACACAAGCCTCGTGGAGCAGGTGGCTCTAGTTTTCTCACACCCAGGATAATAAATACTGGGGTAATTACAGTTCTCACGGCCCTGGAGGAAAAGGAAGCTGGTTTCATGCCTCAAGTAACTGCTGTGGGAAGAGCCCGCGGGCCCTTATCAGCTAGAGATGCTTCGGGGGAGGGAGCCCCATCAGCGCAGCCTCTGCCGGGAGCAGGCGCCTGAGAAAGGGCTGCTTCCTACCCAAGCCCCTGCCTGGCCAGAGATGTGGGTGAAGCCTCTTCCAGGCACGTCCTCGCTGTGTGGCCCCAGGTAAGTTCCTTGACCTCTCTGTGCCATCACTGTCCTCCTGCACTCGGAGAGTATTGTTCAAGCCTTCTCCAGCCTTCTCGGTGTCGGGTCACCTGTTTCACCCATCGCTCTGACAGGAGTGTTGAGCTGCCATCTAGAAAAGAGCGTTTGACTAAGTCTTCCCATTGTCAGCTTTTACTTTGTCATTTGAAGCCCGATTACTAAGCCCACATGCAAGTAGGATTGCTATGGCTTCTTGATGAACTGACGTTTCATTAGGAAATGTCCCACTTTATCGTTGATAACATTTCACGTGTGAAATCTATTTGATATTAAAGTGGCTACTCCAGCCTTTTTATTAATGTTAATATTCTTATTTTTATTATTATTATTAATCAGGGCTCCCCAGGGAGACAAAACCAATTGGTTGGGTGTCATCCCGTGCACCGAAAGGTTGCTGGTTTGATTTCGGGTCAGGGCACAGGCCCGGGTTTCAGGCTTGATCCCCAGTGGGGGGCGTGCAGGAGGCAGCCCATCCCTGTTCTGCTCTCCCATCGATGTTTCTCTCTCTCCCACTCCCTTCCTCTCTCTCTAAAAATCAGTCTATATATAGATAGATGGATGGATAGATGGATGGATGGATAGATAGATAGATAGATAGATAGATAGATGATATTGGTTATGAGACTGTGAGGAAGCGGCTGCCATGATGACTGTGGAGGCTGAGATGTTCGGGGTCTGCCGTCTCTAAGCTGGAGACCCAGGGAGGCTGGTGCTGTGGCTCCATGGAAGTCCCAGAGCCTCGGCCAGGGGAGCCCGGAGTGCAGCCGTGGGCAAACTATGGCCCGCGGGCCCGTTTGAAATGAATAAAACTATTGAAAAAAAAGATCATACCCTTTTATGTAATGATGTTTACTTTGAATTTATATTAGTTCACACAAACACTCCATCCATGCTTTTGTTCCGGCCCTCCGGTCCAGTTTAAGAACCCATTGTGGCCCTCGAGTCAAAAAGTTTGTCCACCCCTGCCGTAGTGAATGCATGTCCCCCCTGGGGCTGACCTCACGGGAACCTCTCCCAGACACACCCAGAAGTAACGTTTCATCCGGGCACCCTGTGGCCAACCAAGTTGACAGGTGAAATTAACCACACCTTCTGTCTTTTCACTTGAACCTTTCTGTCTCTATATCCAAAACGTGTTTCTTGGAAACCCTCCTGTACTGTTGGTGGGAATGCAGGTTGGGGCAGCCACTGTGCAAGACAGTATGGGGTTTCCTCAAAAAAATTAAAAATAGAACTGCCTTTTAACCCAGCAATCCCACTTCTGGGGATATACCCTAAGAACCCCAGAACACCAGTCAGAAAGCATATGTGCCCCCCTGTGTTCACAGCAGCGTTACTTACCATAGCCAGGATCTGGAAGCAGCCCAAGCGACCACCAGTAGAGGAGCGGATAGAGAGCTGTGGGGCGTGGACACGTGGACACCGTGCAGCAGTGAAAAAAGGCTCTTACCCTTGCGACGGCATGGAGGGGCCTGGAGAGCAGGGTGCTGAGTGGAGGGAGCCAGGCAGAGAGAGACAAGGTCACACGGTCACCCTCCTGTGGAACCTAATGAACAAAATAACTGATGAGCACGCAGAACCTGGAGGGAGAGTACCTGGAACAGACGGGCAAATCTCAGAGGGAGCGCGGGGCCTGGATGGAAGGTGCGGAGATCAGCTAAAGAACAGGCACGCCCAGCCCATGGACACAACAGTGCGGTGAAGGCCAGAGCGGGGGGCTGGGGGGGGAGGTGGGCAAGGGGGAGGGGTGGGGGACCCCTGTAAGAGTGTCAACAATCAAAAATAAAAGTGTGTTTCTTCACCAGCTCACACTGGGTTACTTACCACTACAGGTCAGGGCAGGGGAGAGTTCCAGGACATCAGTGAAGGAGGCTCCTTCTCCAGATCCTCTGATCATCTCGGCGTGTTTGGTTTCTTCTTCCATATCTTTTTTTAAAATACGTTTTTATTGATTTTTAGAGAGAGGGAGGAAGGGAGAGGGAGAGAGAGATAGACACATCAATGATGAGAGGGAATCATTGATCGGCTGCCTCCTGCACGCCTCCCACTGGGGATCGAGCCCACAACCCGGGCGTGTGCCCTTGAACGGAATCGAACCTGGGACCTTTCAGTTTGCAGGCCGACGCTCTATCCACTGAGCCACACCGGCCAGGGCTGCTTTGCATTCTTCATTGTCATTCTTTCACAAGCATACACTGTTTTTCCAGAAGCCATGTGGCGTGTGATGACACCATGATGAGTCACTGCTTGGAGGATCTGGGTAACTCAGGGACCGATATTTGTCAGATGACTAAACGCATGATGTTCCATAACCACAAGAGGGTGAGAGTCATTCAAAATGCCAGCGAGATCAGCGCGGGTCAGTGAAGCAGCAGGAAGAAGTAGTACGTCAGGGTGGCTTCCGGTTTCCACGGCAGCCCACCTTGAGACACTCCGCATGTTGAGTTGTGGTGCAGTGCCAGAGAAAACCAGCCACAGTTTTCTGAAAAGACTGTTAAAATACGCTGCCCTTTTCCAACTATGTATTTTTGTTGTTGTTGTTCATTCTCACCGGAGGATATTTTTCCATTGATATTTAGTATATGTGCTGCCGAAGCGAGCACTTTCCATTGATATTTAGAGAGGGTGGAAGGGAGAGGGAGAGGCAGAGAGAAACATCAATGTGAGAGAGACACATTGATCGATTGCCTCCTGCACACACCCCGACCAGGGCCAGGGAACCTGCAACCTTTAGTCCTCAGGCTGACACTCTCTCCACTGAGTCAAACCGGCCAGGGTGAACTATATATTTTTTAAAAGATATTTTTATTAATTTCAGGGAGAGGGAGGGAGAGGGAGAGAGAGATAAGAACACCAATGAGAAAGAATTATTGATCAGATGCCCCACACTAGTGATCAAGCCAGCAACTCTGGCATGTGCCCTGACCGGGAATCAAACCATGACCTCCTTGTTCATAGGTCAATGCTCAACCACTGAGCCACACTGGCTGGACTCCAACTATATATTTTTACTAGAGGCCCAGTGCATGAAATTCATGCACCAGTAGGGTTCCTAGGACTGGCCAGCGATCAGGGCCAATCTCTGGGGCAACCGGCAGGGCGATCGGGGGGCCCCCGCTGGCACCCACCTTGGCCTGGCGCTGCTTGCTCACCGGCTCTGCCTCCCACTGCCATAGCCGCCAGTCGCCTCCCTCTGCAGGGCAACCGGCAGGGTGATAGGTGGGGGGCCCTGCTGGCATCTGCCTTGGGACCTACAGGCTGGGGGCAGCTTCTGCATTGAGTGTCTGCCCCCTGGTGGTCAGTGCATGTCATAGCAACCAGTCATTCTGTTCAATTTGCATATTAGGCTTTTATTATATAGGATGAGGCCAGATTTCCTTCACATACATTAACCAAAAGAACATATTACAACACACTGAGTGCAGAGGCAGATCTGAGAGCCCAGGTGCTCCTGGGGATGCAGATAGCAAGGAGATGTGCAAAGCTACAAAATAATGCCACTCTGCCCTACCTGGTGTGGCTCAGTGGCTAGAGTGTCAGCCTGCGGGTTGAAGGGTCCCAGGTTCAATTCCGGTTAGGCCTATCCCCAGTAGGGTGTGTGCAGGAGGCAGCCGATCAATGATTCTCTCTCATCATTGATGTTTCTATCTCTCTCTCCCTCTCCCTTACTCTCTGGAATCAATAAAAAAAATTTTTTTTTTTAAAAAAAATGCCACTCTTCCAGTAGTTTATTTTGGAAAATATATTCCTTACTGAAAGTTAATTACATATGCTAACATATGCATGTATTATCATTGTTGTTGTTGTTTTAGATTTTTTTAATTGTTTTTTTTTCAGAGAGAGGAAGGGAGAGGGAGAGAAACACCAATGTGAGAGTGAAACATCTATCGGCTGCCTCCTACACGCCCCCCCTACTCGAACTGAGCCCAGGCATATGCCCCAACCAGGAATTGAACTGGCAACCTTTCTGGGCACAACACCCAACCAACCGAACCACACCGAGCAGGGCACTGTTTTTAATGAATTAACAAATAGTTTTTAAATTTCTGTTTTAGTTTCTAATGTAGTAAATATCAACAGATATAATCCACATAGAGCTGGCTTTAAAATGTCTTTCAGCAGCCCGGCTGGCGTGGCTCAGTGGTTCAATGTTGCCCCAAGGACCAAGAGGTTGCAGGTTCGATTCCCGGTCAGGGCACATGCCCAGGTTGCGGGCTCAACCCCCTGTGTGGGGCGTGCGGGAGGCAGCCCATCAATGATTCTCTCTCATCATTGATGTTTCTTCACTCTCCCCCTCTCTCTTCCTCTCTGGAACCAATAAAGATATATATATATATATTTTATTTTATTGATTTTTACAGAGAGGAAGGTAGAGGGATAGAGAGTTAGAAACATCAATGAGAGAGAAACATCGATCAGCTGCCTCCTGCACATCTCCTACTGAGGATGTGCCCGCAACCCAGGTACGTGCCCTTGACCGGAATCGAACCCGGGACCCTTCAGTCCGCAGGCCGACGCTCTATCCACTGAGCCAAACCGGTTTCGGCAAGATATATTTTTTTAAAAGCATTTCTGTGCGGGTCTGGCCTGGGATCGTCACTCTGCAACCAGCCCTGGTTTGATGTGATTTACACTTTTTGTTCTGAATAAGGGTTCCTTTTCATACTAAGTCTATATACACACTTTCATGTTAGCTTTCTTACAGAGGCCTCCAAATGCAGTCCCCATGGCGCCCCGGCCTGTCTCTGATTTCTGGGGTCTAGAACGGCTCCCCGTTCTCTGAGGCCTTTGTCCTGGGCTCCTTAGGGTTTTAGCATCCTGAACCCCAGCAGCGGGGCATGCATTCAGCCTGGAGTCTCCCTTTTTCACAGGTGGGGTCCAGTGAGCAGCCACCCGACCCTGCTCTTTGCTGCCCTCTAGTGGATCTCGAGTGACAAGACACCACACACACACACACACACACACACACACACACACACACACAGGGCGTGCCCTCAGGGGCTTCTCACGCTGCCGCTGCCGAAACCTTTAAAGCTTTATGACAGATGCTTTCAACACCTGGGGCTTTGCCAAGGCCTCTCAAAACCCAGAGTGAAACCAGTTGCTCACTTGGAACCGGCCGTAGGTGGCTGCCTTCTCCCCGCCCCCCTTTACATGGGTACAGGCACGCGCACAGGCACACACACGCAGCACCCAGAGGCAGGGCCACCCTGGGAAGGGGCCCAGACAAGAAGTAAAGCCAAGGAAGTAACCACTGGACCGGCTAGGGCAGCCTGGCATGTTCTTAAAAAGTAAATCTGGCCCTGGCCAGGTTGCTCAGTGGATAGAGCATCAGCCTGCGGACTGAGGGGTCCCAGGTTCAATTCCAGTCAAGGGCACATGCCCGGGTTGCGGGCTCAGTCCACAGTAGGGAGCGTGCAGGAGGCAGCCCATCAATGATTCTCTCTCATCATTGATGTTTCTATCTCTCCCTCTCCCTTCCTTTCTGAAACCAATAAAAATATTTTTTAAAAAAATTTTTTAATAAATCTGGCCTCGATGTTGGGAGAAGGTGGCTGCAGGGGATGGGGAAGGGCCCCTGGCTCCCGCCAGCGGCTCCACGGGGGTCACCCTGATGTGGCAGGAGGGTTCTGCCGAGCCGCGGGCTTTCCCAGACCCAGTTCATTCAGCTCCTGTTCCAGACGACCCGGCGGGAGACTCAGCCGGAGTCTGGGCTCCGAGGTTTGTAGCTGTTTCCTAGAGGAGTCTCCTTGGCAACCTGCCTTTATCACTGATCATGGAAAAGAGACTTGACCCCCGGGGGACGTGGCCGGCCCCAGCCTGAGGCTCCCAGGCGGCTCCAGGTGCCGGCTGTCACCCACTGGTTTCTAAGAACCCAGGCCCTTTCCTGCAACCAAGCGTGACAGCCAGTCAGTCCTGGGACCATCTCAGAAAGGGCCACCCACTGGGCCCCACGTGGGCCTCGCTTAGTGTCATGGGATGCTCCTGAGTGGGGAGCCTCCCTCCCGCACCAGAGAGGCCCGCCCAGCCCTGTGCTCACCTGGGGCGTCACACAGGCTCCGGGAACAGCAGGGGAGCTGCCAGGAGGGAGGCGTGCACAGGTGCCTGTGGAGGAGGCTGGCTTCCCTGTGTCACAAGCCCAGCCTGAGTGCCAGCCAGGCACCTGGGCAGCTCGGGCCCCTCCCTGCTGGGAAGCAGGCTTCTCGTCTGGGGCCCAGAGCCTCACCTGCCTGGGCATACCTCTGCTCCCGCCAGGGCGGGCTGGCTGCCCAGCTCAGTGCCCGGAACGCCTGACCCCTGAGTCACTGGCCTGTCTACACACCTCCGCCCTGCCTGCTCGAGGTGAGGTCACTGAGAGGCACAGAGCCGGGGACCCAGACGGAGCTCAGAAGCAGGAAGTGGCAGAGCAGGCCCAGCCTCCGTGCTGGCTCTCACACCCGCCCCCACTCTCACACCCACCCCCCGCTTCTGTCCTGGGAGCCCAGGCCTGTGGAGCAGGTCTTCTAAGCGGTATGAGGGGCCCTGGGTGGGAGTCAGGGCAAAGGCCAGGCTGTCCAGGGCTCAGTGCCTCGTGGTCTGGTCACATGACCTGTTCGTTAGCCCACCGTGTTTCCTGAGCTCCCTGTGTGCCCCGGGCCTTGCAGACACAGAGGCGCACTCAGCCCCACCCTGCCCTCCAGGAGCTGCAGTCCCGTCTGCCAAACCCACAGGGGGTAGGACAGGACACGCTGCTGGGGGCTCACCCAGCTGTCTCAGCAGTGACTTCTTTAAAACGTTTTTATTGTTTTTTAGAGAGAGAGGAAGGGAGAGGGGGAGATAGAAACATCAATGAGAGAGAAAAACATCGATCAGCTGCCTCCTGCACACCCCCTACCGGGGATGGAGCCCACAGCCCAGGCATGTGCCCTGACCAGGAATTGAACCGGCAACCTCTTGCTGCTGGGGTGGTGCCAAACCATTGAGCTCACTGCCAGGCAGCAGTGACTTCTTCAATAACACCCACAGCTTCCCACGTCCTGACATCCAAATCGGTGCGAGGTCATCCCGGGTTTGGTGACCCCTCCCCCTCCATCAGCTCCGCCTTCCACCCCTCGTGCCCTGGTCCCTCCACAGGCTGTGGGACGAGGCACTGACCCTTCTTCGTGAGGAGGCTCAGCGGATCCTCAGGAAATGCTGGGAACAGGGCCCAGTGGGGCTCCCGCCGTGTCTTGGGCACCCACTCCTGGGACCCACGGCCCCTCCCTGAGGCTTTGCAGGCTCTCCTGACGTCCACAGGGAAGAAAGAAAAGTCTGAAGAACAAGTCACTCCCAGTGACCAAACCTGAAGAGCAGCCGGAAGCAGGTGTGAAGAGAAAATGAGGAAAGGTGTTTCCTGATCCTTCACCTGTTGTTGCCCTTGAATCCCTGCTGCGGTGACATGGCCGTGCTCACCTCCCCGGCACTGCCTCCGCGTTGGATCTCCTTGGGGCCGCAGGGCACCCGCATTCTTGCCCACCCTTCTCACACCTGGCACATGAACCAGGCTAGACTAATGCTGGGGAATGAGTCCTCCCACGCCCACCCAGCCAGGCCCCCGCCCAGACAGCACGGAGCCCGGCTGCCTCCAGGCCCTGTCACTGGAGGCTTTGGACCAGAGAGCCAGGCGTGGAGGTGATGGCTCCCAGGCCCGCAGAGCCCTCAGGTCACTGCTTCCATCTGCGCAGAGGCTGCCCAGCAGAGCTGGCGAGGAGGCAGGCCCAAGAAGGGCCTGGAGGGCAGCGACCAGCCAGAGCAGATGGCTGCACCTGGCTCAGGTGAGGTCTGCCCAGGTGAGCTCGGTCCAGCCCTTGGATTGGGGCCAGTGCGGGGACAGGTGTGCCTTCCACCAGCAGGGGTGGGGGCGCCTCCTCCCCTGCAGCCACTCGCCCCTTCTCCTCGGCCCAGACACCCTCCAGTTGGGGGTGAGGCGGGCTTCTCCCCTTATTTCTTCCAGCTGAGTCCCCAGGCCTGCAGTCCACCGCTCGGATCACAGACATCCGGCTGCGTCCTGGCTGTGGCTGACCCCTCCTGGTGGGAAAAGCAGCTGCCGCCAGGCTTCCTCAGTCCCCAGGGCCGGCAGCGGCGTCCGTGGACTCTCCAGGGGCTACCAAGGCCGCCAGAGGCCAGGGCCGCGAGGAGACGCAGGCGGCGAGGGTGCGGGGGTGGGCGGTGCGGAGGGCGAGGGCGACCCACACGAGTCCTCAGGGCGCCCGCCGTCGGGGGAGGCGCCGGCCGCTCTCTGCCGCAGGTGCTCCAGCAGCCGAGCGCCCAGCGCACGCTCCAGGGCGCCGCAGGCGGGCAGCGCGCGGGCCAGGCGCGCCAGGCAGGCGCCATAGCCCTCGCGGTAGCTGTCGGAGGGCGCTGCGGACGGAGAGGCACGTCAGGCGCGGGGTGCGGGGCAGGGTTGGGCGGGTGCGGAGCAGGGTGCGGGCGGGCTGGGCGGGGTCACTTACTGGGGGCCGCCGCCAGGCAGGAGGACGCAGGCAGCTCCTGCAGGAAGCGCACCGTCATTTCCAGGATGTCCGCCTTCTCCAGCTTCGAGCAGCCAGAGCTCTGCGACCGGCCACCGGGGAGAGGGACGGAGAGACTGACAGTCAGGACAGATCTCCGGCCGGCTGCCTGGGCCCCCCTAACCCCCAACCCTCAACCCCAACCCGTTCTGGTCAGCAGCTGGGCGCGCGCGCCACGGCCCACGGAGGGGCCGGCTGCCCGGGACTAGTCCCACCTGCGCTCGGCCGGCCTTGGGCGCCGCGCGGAGCCCCCTCGCAGGTTCCGGGGGCCGAGGCGACCAGCGCTCCCGCCCTCCTCGCTCCGCGCGCAGGCCCCACCCCGGCCCCATGCGCGGCGCTCACCTCCAGGCCGAGCAGCGGCAGGACGAGCGCCCGGAGCTGCCGCAGGCTCTCGTTGATGCGCGCGCGGCGGCGCTTCTCCAGCAGCGGCTTCAGGCTCTGCGGGGCGCGGAGACCGCGTTAGGCGGCGCCCAGGCACGGCGCACCGGCACGCCCCCGGCCCCAGACCCCGCCTGGCACCCAGCTCCTACCTTACGCAGCTCCGTCGGCTCTCGCGCCCTCCGAGGCAGCCCCATGCTCGACGGGGAGGCAGCCTCGCTGCGGGCCGGCGCTCGGGAGACCGGTGCCCGACTGCGCGGAAGGAGGTGCCTGGCTTTAAGGAGGCGGTGTCGCCCGCCCGCCCCGCCCCGTCCCGCCCCGCCCCGCCCCGCGGAGTCAGGCCGCCCGCGGGCCCCACCTCCCGCCATTGTTCCTGCCCCGGGAAGCGGGTGGTGAAAGGTGGGAGGGGGAACGGCCGAGCCCCAGGGACCTCGCTCCAGCCCTTCGCGTCCCATCTGCGGCGGGGTGGCAGCCCAGGGCGCTCCGGAGCCCCGCAGGGGGGTGTGTGGGCGGCATCGCAGCCTTCGCTGCCCTGACCCGGCGGGCAGGAGGGGCACGGAGGGGGCCTCGCCTCGCCTCGCACGGGCAGCCGTCCCACCTGGCCCAGCTCCGCCCTCTCCATTCATTCAGGTTCAGCGCCTCCTCTTTGGGGAGCTCCCAGGCGGGTTTCTACGACCGGGAGGGACTCGCCCCGCCCCCCAAGTTGCTCTGCGGACGGAGGGTCCGAGCCGCAGGGAGCGAGGTCTCAGCTTGCTCAGTCCCGGCCGCGGGAGCGGGCGAGGGCAGGTGGAGGCCCCGTCGCGGACCGCCCGGCCAGGGCTCTAGGACTCCGTGGACTCCTGGGCTCTCCAAGTTAGAGGTCACCTGGTTCCCCGGCCTCGGTATGAATGGGGAAACTGAGGCCCAGAGGAGACTGGGAAACCCAGGGGCCATTTTCTTTTCAACTGGCGCCGGCTCCGGCCCCACCCGCGGGCCAGGCGGAGCCCACGTGACGGGCAGGGCGGGGAGGTCCCGGGTGCTTTGGCCCCAGCGGCCTCCGGACCCGCGTCCTCGCCGCGTGGCGGTTGGTGCAGCAAACTGGCTGGGCGTCCCCCGCCCATCTGCTCGGGGCCGCCCACCCGCAGCCGGCTGGCGGGGCAACGGCCGCCGGGCGAACCGCACTGCACTGCCGACCGCCCCGCCGACCCTCCGGCTGCTGAGCGCGGACCCACCCAGCTGGGCCGGGAGGAGGCACCCTGGGGCGGAGCCAACCCGGCGCTGTCCAGGGTTCTGGAGTGCCCCCCCCCCCCCCCCCCGCCAAACCCATCTTGGTCCGCATTCCCGTCACTCGCCCCAAATCCTCCTGTCTCATGCTCCCCCAGCCGCGCCCGAGGAGGCCAGCGCGTCCATCAGAAAGGGGGTGCAAGCAGCCTGGGAGAGAGGGCCCTCGGGCCACCTGTACCTGGCTGCTGGCGAAGGGACAACGGGCCATCACTTACGGAGGATGTGCTGTGTGCCAAGCACAGGCCAAGCGCTTTTTGGGCCTCGCGGCCAGTAACCCCCATTACGGTCCTGATTATGAGAATAAATAATTCAATATATTTGGCCTGGCAGGGCCTGGGGGTGCCGGAGCCCCTGTCCCCCTTGCATTCTTGAGCCCAGGGATCAGAAAAGGACTGGGTCCCTCGCTGATGTCCCCCATGTCACCCTCCCCCACCCCAGCCACACTGGCTCAGGCAGTTCTGTGCCCACCAGCCCACCCTGCACCAACCCCTACATTCTGGCTGGGAGGCCCTGACACTGGCTCCTGGGGGAAGGGGCTCGGGAGGAAGGTTCTTTCTAGAACACCCCCTCCATGCCTGTGGGCCCCCATTTGAGGCCCTGGGGAGGGAGCAAACTCCCTTTTCAGTGCCAGTTACCCAGTCTCTCCTCCGCTCTCCCCTGCTGTGAAGGACGGACCAGCTCATGCACCACTGCTTTCCGCCGAGGATCCTGGGGGGTTTGCAGCAATAAACCTGGAGGAGAGTCATTTATAACCAGACTTAGCTGAGTCAACTGAGTGTGCAGCGTGTGTGGGTTCAGGCTTTAGGCAAGTTGGGGTCACCTGGGGCCCAGTGGGTACACACTCCACCCCTGGCCCCTGCCCCTGGGTTCAGGCCGAGGTCTGAACAGGCACTTTCCACACGACCAGGGAGGGCCTGAGCCCCGCGGAGGGATGAGAGGAGGCCTGGGGGGCGGGAGTAGATAGACATCTGGAGGGGAGCGTGGGCAGGAAACAGGCAGAGTCCGTCAGGGGCAGAGGGAAGGAGGCACAGCGGCAGCAGCCGGTGTGAGCTCTGCACCTTCCCCATTCGTGTCACCTCAGGCAAGATACGTTCAAAACCGACAAACCAACCTCCCCGTGCCTCAGTTTCTCCAGCTGTGAGATTGGAATCGTGGTTGTACCTGCCGCATGGCGTCCCTGTGAAGGTGCCGGTGAAGATTGGCATAGTGCCCGGTAAGCGGCAGGACTTCCGCAAACGTGTTCCTGCCGGTGTGGGCTCTCTCTAGGGCTGCTGGGGACCAGTGGACCTGCAGGGGCCCAGAGACGACAGGAAGGTCTGGCTCTCAGCCCAAGTCTGAGTGGTGACCCTAAGAAAGGAGGCGAAGAAGGTGTTCAGCAAGGATGGGCGTGCGTGCACACACACACACACACACACACACACATGACTTTCATGGAGACATTCCTCTTGGTGGGGGAGGGGTTCCAGGACGTCTTGCTTTGCCGAACACATTATGGGTGGCTCCCAAAATGACAAAACCATGTGATGGATGAGGGTGTCTGGGGCCAGGGGAGCCACCTTGGGAGTGAAGGACAGGATTGCAGCACATGATTTCAGTCATGGAGGAGGCATGGGGGTGGAGGGACGCCCAAGACGAGTCATTTCAGCTCCTTGTCCCTGCAGCACCTCTGCCAGTCTCAGGCCTCAAGGTGTGCCTGTCGCTGGGTGAGCTGGAGGAGGGCAGCCCCGTGGGCACAGGAACCAGCCAAGCACAGAGGTTGCCAAGATAAGACTCCTCCCTTCCCGGCAGAAGAGGGTGGGTGGGTGGGAAGAGATCAAGCAATGAACTTGTATGCATATATGCATAACCCATGGACACAGACAATAGGGTGATGAAGGCCTGGGATGGGTGGGGGGGGGGGGCTGGAAGAGGTCAATGAGGGGGAAAAGGAGACATATGTAATACTTTCAACAATAAAGATTAAAAAAGAAAGAGAGAAAAGAAATGTACACTTGAAACCTATTGATTTTATTAACCAACTAGAGGCCCGGTGCATGAAATTCGTGCCATGGGGTGGGGGTAGGGGCATCCCTCAGCCCGGCCTGCGCCCTCTCGCAGTCCGGGACCCCTTGCTCCTTACCGCCCACCTGCTCGCTGCACCTTACCTACCTTCAGCTCGCTGCTCTGTAGCGCTTCTGCAGAGGAGGGAGAGGCTCCCGCCACCACCGCTGTGAACCGGCCATGAACCCGACTTCTGGCTGAGCGGCACTCCGCCTGTGGGAGTGCCCTGACCACCAGGGGGCAGCTCTTGCATTGAGCACCTGCCCCCTGGTGGTCAGTGTGCGTCATAGCGACCGGTCGCTCTGGTTGTTCCGCCTTGACGGTCGCTTAGGCTTTTATTATATAGATGTCACTCCAATCGATAATAATAAAAGCTTAATGTGCTCATTAGACCGGACACCCTTCCGCACGAAGCCGGGGCTGTGAGGGAGGCCCAGTCCCGCGTGCCAGCGGGAAGCCGGTGCGGCAGCAGGGGAAGGAAGGCCTGCTCTCCCACGAATTTCGTGCATGGGGCCTCTAGTAAATTTAATAAAAAACAAAGGCAAACCAGCCGACTCAAAAATAAACTAAAATAAAAGCACAATGTCGCACCCTGTTCTAAGGAAAAAAAATTATGTGCCAAAATTTTTTAAAAAAGACTCCTGCCTTCCCTTGTCCGCAAACCAGAGTGGCCACGGGTCCCATGGAGGGAGCAAGGCCGGTCTGGCCAGGTGGACGTCTCTGGAAACCCATCCCCACACGGGCCCAGCGCCTCGGGGGTACTGGCTCCTTGGAGCGCCACCAGGTGGCGGCCCCGGGAATGTATGCGTGGCCGCCCGCGAATCCCTCGCTAGGGCTCCCGCGGTCCTGAAAGCAGCTTGACTGCGCGTCAGCGCTGCCCCAGCCGCCGGCCAGGTGCTGCGGGGAACAGCCCGGGGCCGGGCCCCCTCGGGGCGGCAGCGAGGGCGCGGGGGAGGGGAAAGGCAGGGCACAGACTGTTTCAGTCACAGGATGTGCCGGCTCACCCCCACGGCCGCAGCCCCCGCCTCTGGAGCTCTCCCTCGTGTCCAGCCGGCTGTGCCTCCCTCCAGCTCCAGGCAGGGCTTCTGGCCTCGCCGGCGGGATGGTTTGGTCCACGTGCTCCCCTGGCCAGCGCCCTCTGTGAGGGGTCCCGGCCCCCTTCCTGGTGACTGCTCTGCGCCCTCCCCGCGCCCTCAGCCCCTGCAGCCCCGCTTCCCCTTCTCTCCCCGCGGCAGCCACGGGCCCTCAAGCTCAAGGCAACTCCCCACCCAGACAGCAGCTCCCGGGCTCCCTGAACCACCCTCTAGCTCCGAACCCTGAGCGCACCGGACCGGGTCCCTCCCCGCTGCCGGCGCCGAGAGCAGCTCTTGGGGGCTGGCGGGCTCCGAGGGCCGAGGGCCCAGCACCAGGCAATCTGGACCTGCTCCTGCCTCGGCCTCGGCCTCGGCCCTGTGGTGCCCCTGCCGGGAACACCCCTGTTACCCCAAACCCAGCCCAGGACACTCCTCAGGTCCCTGCCGCCCGGCTCCTCCGCGAGGCCAGCCAGCCGCGGGGCGGGGCGCGGGGCCGGTGGGCGGGACGGAGGCGGGGCGGGGGGCGGGGGGCGGCCCCAGGCTTAAGCGGGGGGCCGCGGGGGCCGGCCCCAGAGCGCACGGAGGCGGAGCGGAGCGAGCGAGGGACTGCGGAGCCGGAGTCGCGCCGGCAGCCGCTCCGCCTCCCAACCCGCTGGGCCCCCGACGGCCGCGCCACGGACTCTCCGGGTGCCCGCGGGCAGGCGCATGGCGCCCAGGGGAGCGCGCTGAGCGCGGGGCGAGGCGCGGCGGGCGGCACGATGGCCCTGGAGCAGGCGCTGCAGGCGGCGCGGCAGGGCGAGCTGGACGTGCTGAAGGCCCTGCACGCCGCGGGCCGGCTGGAGCCCTCGCTGCGGGACCCGCTGGACGCCCTGCCCGTGCACCACGCGGCCCGCGCCGGCAAGCTGCACTGTCTGCGCTTCCTGGTGGAGGAGGTCGCCCTGCCTGCCGCGGCCCGCGCGCGGAACGGCGCCACCCCGGCCCACGACGCCGCCGCCACCGGCCACCTCGCCTGCCTGCAGTGGCTGCTCTCGCAGGGCGGCTGCAGGGTGCAGGTGGGTCCTCGCGCCCCGGGCTGCCCAGGCTCCCCCCCCATGAGGGTCTGGCCTGGAGCCCCCCTAGGCTCAAGCGTGTGGAGCTGGCACCTCCCCACTGCACCTGCGTCAAGGTCCTCCCCAGGGCCAGGGTGAGGTGGTTCCTGGGTTTAGTAAGCACCAGGGCAGATGCCCGTCAGCACCCAGGTGATGGGGAACCACAGGGGCCGGGAGGGTGGGGGCACTAGGGCCTGGGCACAGAATCAGAAACCCAGGAGCCCCCTCCCCCGTCCCCCCTTCCCCCCACCCATCAGGTCTGGAGGGACGGCCAATGCCGGAGTCCAACCCCAGCAGGTCCAGGGGTCCCCAAAGGTGTAGACGGAGTCGGCGAAGAAGGAAGGACACGGAGACAGTGTTCAGTTGATCAGCAGCCTAGCCAGGATCTCCATGGACCGGCTTCCGGCAGGCCAAGCCTTACAGCCACTCCAGGCTGAGAGGCAGGTGACCCCAAGGCCAGGGCGTCTTCCTGCCCCAAGGCCCCACCTGGTCTCTGGACCCCTGGCTGGTGGACGCCTGGCTCCTTCTGAGCTGGGGGAGGAGGCAGCTCAGGCCCTAGTGTAACACTCCTGCTGGCCATAGAGCACCAACAGGTACTAGGCCGGGGCTCAGGGCGCTCTGCCCCGCTGGAGCTGCCAGTCTACCGGGCAACACACAGCAAACCCACAGGCCAAGAAGTAAACCAGGTACCAGCAGGCACCGCAGGGCCACTCGAGGGGGAGCCTCAGGGAGCTGCTTGGGCGAGGTGGCCGGGAAGGCCCCTCTGAGTGACTGAGGAGGAGGAAGTGGCCAGGTGATGATCACACAGTTCCCAGCACAAGGAGCAAGAAGTGCCCAGCTCTGCGCTTACACGTTCCTGTCCTGGCGGAGCGGCAGAAGGCCAGTGTGGGGAGAAGGGTGAGGGTGGAGAAGCCACCGGGGCTAGAGGGTCTCAGAGGCTGGAGAAAGGAACCTGGAAGCTATTCTGGCCACTGGGACCACTGGAGGGAGGAACCAGACCTTTGGGCAAGACCACTGGGTCCTCTGGATGTGGAAGAAGAGGCAGAAGCAGCTGAGCTGGTGGGCTGGGCCCTGAGGGTGCCCAGACCCCTGCCCCCTTTCTCCCCTCAGGATGGCACCCCCACACACACTTCCGCCCTTCCTAGGAGCTGGCCCGGCCTTATCTCCTGCTCTGTTATCAGAGTTCCTGGCACGTGGTCCCTGCCCACTCTTTGGGGAGGTGGCATGCCTCCCTGGTCCTGGTGTCCAGCCCTGGCCGGAAGCCTGCCTTGCCTCTGCAGAGGAGGCAGAAGGACAGGTGGCCTTGTGCCCGGCTTATCTCGGCTCCCGCCCTCGAGCCCCCGGGGGCGGAAGTGGGGTGGGGGGGTGGCCTCAGATCCTGGCCCTGCTCAGCCCAGAGAGATAAGCAGATTTAGGGTGCCGGCCACAGCACAGGAGGCCGGAGCTTCAGGGACAGACAGGCCAGAGCCCCTAAGCCCGGTCCTCTTCTTACTGCCACCCCCACCCAGAGGCCAGAGCCAGCAGGACCCCCGGGAGCCTCCAGGAGGAACCGAGGGCCTTTCTCAAGAGCTGGGCTCGGCGCATACTTCACCGTGGGCCTGCCTGGGTCAGCTCTAGCCCTGTCCCCTCGGCTCAAGGGACACACTGAGCCAGACTGGTCCCGCCTGGGCATTCCAGCACACAGAGGGCCTCAGCGACACCCTCCATCCTGGGCGTTCACTCCTGCCCCCTCTGCCTTACCCTGCTGCCCACCTCCCTCCCGGCCACAGCCAGTCCACCTGCGCCTGCCCCTCAGCCTCGAGGACACCAGCCGGCCCTGGGCTCCACCCCCTCCAGGCCCTTGCTTCTGTTCACCTTTCTCACAGGAGCCTCTCCTCCCGCGGCCTCAGCCACACTGTGCCCACCTGTGCCCACACCTGGGCAGAAGGCCCCGCTTCCCCGATTCTAGTAAACCGTGCCCACCACTCACTACTGCCCAGCCCAGCGCCCTCTCCCCTCCGTCGTCTCACATGCTTGGCGCTGGGAGCTCACTCTGTCCCAGAGCCCGTGCCCCCCGCCCAGCCGCCAGCCAGCCTCTGGTCTCAGGGACTGCCCTCACCCACCACATGCGCAGCACCTGCCCCTGCACTGCCCCCATGGCAGGTACACCCGGCTGCTCACAAGGACACATCAGGCACTTCTGACCATTGCCCCCCCCCCCCCGGGGTGCCTGGGAGAGGGCTACCACCATTAGCTGAGTGCCCAGGCCCTGCCCACTGCTCCACAGGGCAAGAAGGCAGCCTGGGAGCAGGGCGTGGGCTGGGCTGGGAGGCGGGACAGTTCTCTGCACTGAGATTGGGTTGTTAGGGGTGCACCAATCTGGAGAGCCCTTCCCATGTGACACGGGGGGAGGGGCGCAAGGGTTGGATGCAGAAGGTGCCCCTGACCCCGATGCCAACCTGGTGCAGCCCCAACAGCCCACCTCCCTGGCCCAGCAACTCTCGCTCCCTCACCCATGTGTTCCTGAGCACCTGGGTGCCGGCATGGGTCTCGGCCAGACCCCGGAGCGCCTGCGGGGACAAGCGTGCCACATCCTGAAAACCTGCGTTGTGCGGACATCTCAGTCATGGCCTGCAGTTCTCAGAGAGCCCACGGGGCATGGCATGGCTTGGTGGTGCCACTTTGGACTGTAGTTCAAAGCAGGCCCGCTAGGTGCCCGAGAACAGAGCTGCCCCATGGCCGGAGGGATGCGGGAAGGGCCTGAGCCAGAGACGGGGCAGGACAGGTTGTGGGACTGACGCGCCCTCCTTCCACAGGACAAAGACAATTCTGGTGCCACAGTCCTGCACCTGGCTGCCCGCTTCGGCCACCCCGAAGTGGTGGACTGGCTGCTGCGTCACGGCGGTGGGGACCCCACCGCAGCCACAGACACGGGCGCCCTGCCCGTCCACTACGCCGCGGCCAAAGGAGACTTCCCCTCCCTGAGGCTTCTCATCGGGCACTACCCTGAGTAAGGACGCCCCTCCCGGGGGCTCGGGGTGGGGCCGCCAGGGCTCGGGGTGCTTGAAGTTTGCCATCCCCTCGGCAACTGGGGAGTGGCCGCGCCTGGGGCCAGAGGGCCAGGCCAGAGGCGGCTCCTGCCCAGCCAAGATGTCTCCCCTCCTGGCAGGCTCACTGCCACTTGCCCCAGGCCCTGCAAGCCCGGGGCATCCAGCCCAAGGTCCCTTGCTCCCTCAGGTGCTCCCAGCCTGCAGGGTGCTCCCTCCAGCCCCAGCCTCATTGGCTGCTGTGCTCATTTGCAAGGCTGTTGTAAATGAGGGTTGGGAGGGTGGGCATGCTCCCAAAGAGCATCTCCTAAACCCCCAGGCAGGAAGGCGATGGAGGAGGAGCCCTGTCACTTACCCAGAGGTGGAGGGAGAGGGCTGCCCGCCCAGACTCCACCCCCTATCCCCACAGCCCCCTGGCCAGGCTGTCCACAGGGCAGCTGGTCATTTCCTGTGGCCCCTCAGCCCATTCCCGATACTGAGGTGCTGGGCTCCCACACCCCAGGGGCCTCTGCTGAGTGGCTGGGCTGAGGGGCAGCTGGGCTGTGGGCTGGGGCTCACCGGGGTGGGGTGGGGCAGGTGGGAGAATGGGGCTCAATGCACAACAGGGGAGTCGGGGCGGTCCCAGGGAGGAAGGGAGCCAGGTCTTCAGCTCAACTGGGGAAGACAGGAGCCCTGGGGGAAAGCCACCCAGACACGGTCTGAAGGGGGCACCAGTGGCCCTGGGCCCTGACGGGTGGGGTGACCTCTGTCAGTCCAAGTGGGCGCCTAGGACATGAGCGGCCTCGGAGGACCCAGCCACCAGGTGAGAGGGTCCTCCCCTGGCTCACTCCTGAGGCACCTGCAGGGCCGCCGGCCACCAGGGAGCAGGCGGGGGTGCTGCCCCATGGCCTTGGGCAGGGTGGCCGCAGCGGCAGCCTCAGGCCCGGGCACACTGGCGTGGGTGTGGGCAGCCCTCAGACCCGGCCGGGTGCAGGGACCTGGCCGAGCAGGAGGTTCCCTGTTCTGGTCAGTGGGGGACCAGGAGGTGTGCCCTCGGACCAGGGGCCACGTGGGCACAGGTCTGCACCACCGTCGCGTGAACTCTGCTTCTGGACAAGCTGGGGTTCGGGTCAAGTCGAAGGCGGTGGGATTTAGAGCAGGAAGCCCCAGAGACTCATGGGAACGGCTCCCAGCCTGGCACCGTCAGCACCCAGAGGTGGGGGCTGGGAGCAGCCTTGCGACACGGCCCCGCCGAGGCGACTCCGATGCTTCTGTCCCCTCCCCTCGAGGAACAAAGCGGACACAGAGGTCCTGCGAGGGGAGGGACGGCCATGGCCACCCGCCTGCACCCCCCAGCCTCCCCCTCACACATAACGGGCCCCAAAGCCAGGCTGGCAGTATGCCAACCGAGCCCAGCAGGGAACTGGGAGGGCCCTGCCCGCCCCTGGAAATGTTGAGGAGGACCTTGGGGGGGGGGGCCCCAGGCTGAGCCCCTCCTCACCAGGGGCCTGGGGAAGGCTCTGGCTGTGCCAGGGGACAGCCTGGGGGCTGAGGACCTTGGGGACACTGACCCTCCCAGACCCTGCAGGTGTGGCTGGGATTGGGGTGCCGGCTCAGGCCAGGTGGCCTGGACAGATGCGCTGCCAGACCCCAGGCCACGTAAATCTCGGGGAGGTGACAGAGGGCTCGCCTCTATCCTGCCGCCAGCAGCATGTGTCCTGGCTGACAAGGAGGTGCTTTTGTGTGGTCCCCAGACAGGGCGCAGGCAGGAGGGGTGGCTGGGAATTGGGTGGGGCACTGCCAGGAGAGGGTGTAGACCAGTGCCCACCCAGCTGCCTGTGGGGATGGAGACCCTGCGGGCAGGGAGCTGGGGGCGGGGGGAGAGGCTGGGACAGCTCTAGGCTGCAGGGCACAATCAGGGGCCCAGGCAGCCGGCTGGAGGCCGCAGCGCCGCCCACCCGTGAGCCTGGCTGCTGTGGCGCCTGTGAATTATTCACAAGGGCTCAGCTCTCCCTGCGGGGGAGGGAGGACGGCTCCAGCCCTACCGCAGAGAAACCTGATCCCACCCAGGGAGCTGCGGTGGCCTTGGGCCATGGCAGTGACAAGCTTCGAAGGAGCAGGAGGGCTGGACGGTGTCCGGGGAGGGCCCAGCCAGTGCCAGGCTGCATTAGGGGGCATCAGAATGGGCTTGCGACCCCAGGAACACCCTGCACCCCCACCCCACTCCTCCTTCAGTCTATCCCAGTCCATTGGTCAAATTCTCCCAGAGGCCAAGGAATGGCCCCAGCAACCTTGGGGTCTGCTGTCCTAGGGACCCTCCCTCTGAGCCCTCAGAAAGAGGGTCCCTAAGCTGGAGGCACAGAGGCTGACAGGAGCTGGCTGGTCGTCCCTCCTGGCCAGGAGCGTGAGTGGCTGGTGGTGGGAACCAGTGGGGACAGACTGGGAAGTGGGGGGAGCATGGCTCTCAGGGCGCCTGACCACCTGCCGGGAGGGTCCTGGGGCCCAGGAGCCACCGTGCTCATCCTGAAGCTGGAGGGAGGCCGGGCTCAGCCAGGGCCCCCTCCCCCCACCTGAACTTTAAGGCTGGGAGCTTGGGGATGGGCTCTGGGCCCAGGTCAGAGATAGGAAGTGCCCTCGCCAGGAGCCAGGAGAGGCTAGTGTCTCCCAGCAGCTGGCACCTAGCACCAGTCTGAGCCTTACAACCACCCCAGGCAGTGGCCCTGTAATCACCCATTTTACAGATGTGCTAGGCGAGATTCTAAGTGCCAGGGACACTTCGCTGAACCCGACAGATGTGCCTGCCTCCCAGAGTGACAGGTACGAGAGGGCGTCTCATGGCCAGCTCCCTGCCATGGCCACCCCTCTCGGTTCTGTCTTCCACTCCCTCTGGGCCTTTCAGGTTTGCTGGGGATCCCCGGCTGCTTCCACAGCCCCGCTGGAGGGGTTCAGGCAGTCCCCCATCTTGAGCAGGGAGCCAAGCTGCTCACCCCTCAAGGACCCCAGGGACTGTCTCGCTCTCCCTTCAAAGGCTAGAGGCTCTGCCCGGGCCTGGGTCTGACCCCTGCTGGGCCTCTGTTTCTGCCACAGGCAGTGAGGGTTCGTTTATTATGTTACACCCCCCCCCCCCCCCGGGTCTACCCTGGGTGTTTGCTGAGGTCCTTGTGCAGCAGGGCCTGGGCTGGCACATCCACGCTGGGGACCCTGACCCAGCTGGAGGCTCTGAGAAAGGGGAGACCTGGTGAAATAGGGGGACCCCGCTCAGTGGGAACAGCCTCCACCCCCACCAGCAACGCCCGGTCCAAGCCGTCAGATCTGGAGCCTGGCAGCTCTCCCTGTCCTGGCTCTGCCCTCTTCCTGCCCAGCTCGGCACACCTTTGGGGACCTGTCAGTCTCCCCATCACTGACAGGGAAGCCACTTCCTTACGCGGCCCAGCGACCCTCACTCTGGCCCACCCTCCCCTCCAGCTGCTCTCCCATCGCCTGCTCTGCTCCAACAGGCCAGCACCCTGTGGCCTTCGCCCGGGCTGTTCCCTCCACTCAGAACTCTTCCCCACAGAGCCCCTCCCTCCTCAGGCCTCAGCTCCTCTCCCTCTCAGGGCGGCCTTGAGCTCCTTCAAACTGTAATGCGGGAAATGAGGCGGGAGGACGGGGAGGGGGTGCGTGTCATGGGGCGCATTACAGTTTGGGCTGGCATTGCATCTGTGCACCCCTGTGTGCCCCTGTCTGCCTCCCGGCCAACGAGAGCAGACCTCACCTTCGCATCCTGGGAGCCAGCGCCTGGCACTAGTACATTTTGTTAACTGGATACGGAGTCCGGAATCCAGCCTTTGTCTGGCTCTCAGCACGTGAAGGTCAAGCGCCTGGTCCATGCACAGACCCTGAGTGGGCAGAGGTGGGGGGGGTGCAGACTCCAGGTCCAAGCGGGGCCAGGCCGCCTCGAGCCTGGGAAGTAGATGACCTCACCAGGGAGAGAGGGCACTCAGAAAGGAGGACCCGGGGCACCCCGACATTGGGAGGTGAGGCAGGCAGAGGCTGAGGGCCCAGCACAGGCAGGTGTTGGGGGGAGGGCCACCGTTAGGCAGTAGGCACATCACGTGAGGACGGGAACACCTCCAGGGCTGGTAGCATGGCCCAGCGGGTGGGCGAGGGATGGCGGGTCACCCTCCCTCAGGAAACACAAGGTTGCAAAGCTTCCTCTTCTGTTCTCTCGGAAGGGGCATGGAGAGGCCAGACAGTTATCACGCCCACTTGCCATATGTGGAAACTGAGGCTCAGAGGGCAAAGAACTCACGGGCCCTGTGCAGTGAGCTGCAGAGCCCGGGGTGAGCAGAGGCCAGGGCAAAGGGCAGGGGCTGGGAGTGGGGATTCCCTCTCCTCCCTGCCGCCCAGGTGGTCCCTGACGCTAGAGCTGGATGGGCCGGATCAGGGTGTCCCCTGAGACCCCGCCCCGCCCCTCTAGTCAGTGACTCCTGCTTGGTGAGGCCTGGGTGCCCCCAGCCAGCAGTGCACCCCCCCAGGGACACAGGGAGGAGGGGCCTAAGATGCAACAGGGCACCAGGCGGTGCTGAGGGCTCTGAGTGTGTCTCCCGGTTGGATGCCGCCTCCACATCACCATGGCTGTGAGAAGCCATCACACAAAAGGCCAGACCCTGGCACAGCCTGGAGGGCTCAGCCAGGTCCTTCCCGCACCCAGGTCCCTCTCTGCCTCTCTCTCACTGCGTGATCTTAGCCTCACTTTCCCCGTCTGTAAAAGGGGGCAATGCTAACACCTACCTCCTAAGGCCACTTTACAAGGACAAGATGAGAGAATGTGTACCATGCTCGTCACCGTGCCTGGAACAGAGAAATCATTCAATAAATGGTACCGCTACCGCTATTATCAATGATGATCTTTGCTGCCCGTTCTAAATCCATCTCTCCATCTCAATTCATCCTTCATCTCTATGCTCTTGCAGATTTTTATAGCACGAGGGGACCCACCCTTCCGGCCTCCGGGCTGAGGTAGAAGAGGGTAACAAGGCTGGGACCCCCTTGGCCACCCTGGCCCAGCAGCGAACCTGCCCTGTGTCCTGGGGTCTCCCCGCTGGAGCTGTGCCTCCAGAATGGGGACCCTGAGCACAGAGGCTGGGGTACTAACAGTGACAGTGACGAGTCGAGCATTTACTGAGCACGTACTATGCACCCGGGACTCCGGCTGAGAGCGCCAGCCAGTGGCCAGGCAGGAGGCTGAGGGCATGATTGCCCCCTCCTGCCGGGGTCCTGCTCTGTGCCAGCTTCTCAGGCCGGCTGGGCACCCCCGGGTCATGGATACCTGCCAAGGGGGGTTGCTGGGAGGGCAGGGCTCCTGGCAGGTCTGGCGCCTCAGGCATCCCCAGAGAGAGTCCTGTGGGCCCTGGGTGGGGGCCCCTCCAGCCTTCCATCCCCAGGACCCCAGCACTCACTGTGCCTTGGTTACGGGGTGAATAATTCAGGCCACTGAGTGTCGGTCGTGAAATATTAAACAGGCTCTTACTGACGCACCAGCATGTGAATGGGCGTGTGGGGGCGACGCTGGCACTGGGGCGTGGAGGCCAGTGGCCTCGGGCCGGTGTGTCGCTGAGGTGAGGCATGGGGCTCTGTTGCCGTGTGTGTGCTGTGTCGGCTCGTGGGCACCACTCTACCCCTGACGCTGTGGGGTGACAGAGGGCAGCCAGGCATGGCCCCTGCTCCTCCCCAGATGTGTGAAGTGCTGGCCCAGCATCAGCCACAGCCAGTGGCAGCTGTGTGTCTGGGGCGGACAGCCCACACCAGGAGGTCAGGGGTCAGGGAAGTGGACAGAGGCCAGGGTTTAGGGACAGGGAGAAAGGCATCAGGTGGGCGTCGGTGGGGGGAGTGAGAGGAGGGGCCAAGACATGCTGGCAGTGACAAGAGGGGGGGTGAGTGGGCAGATGGAAGCGGAGTGGGTGGCCTGGTGCCTGTGTGAATGGACAGGGGCTGGGATTGGCCGAGAGAGGGAGGGCGTGGGTGGAGGGGTGGAGCGTGGGTTTGATGAAGCGAGTGGGTAGATGGGTGGATTCGCAGGAAGAACCGCACTTCCTGGGCACAGTGTCCTAGGGCACAGCCCCTACCCTGAGCTGAGAATCACTGGGGCTGTTGGTGGGCAGCTCCTGGGTCGGGGCCTAGAGCACTGATGGCGAACCTATGACACGCAAACTCATTTTTTTGGTCGATTTTTCTTTGTTAAATGGCATTTAAATATATAAAATAAATATCAAAAATAGAAGTCTTTGTTTTACTCTGGTTGCAAATATCAAAAAATTTCTATATGTGACACGGCACCAGAGTGAAGTTAGGGTTTTTCAAAATGTTGACACGCCGAGCTCAAAAGGTTCGCCATCACTGGCCTAGATTGTGGTTCCACCTAGTGCCCAACTCTGGTAACTGCATCCTGGGCTGCCCATGACCCACCGTGAAGTCAGGAAAAGTGAGGATCAGCCAGTGGCCCTGCCGGCTCCCCTGTTCCCAGCGGCACTCCAGCTTGTGGGGCGAGTTCCCTGTCCCCCAGTAAGGACGCTCTGTGGGAGCTGAGGGGCAGTGACAGGTGCAGGCGAGGGAATGCCCTCTCTCCACTCCCTGTGTGCCTACTGTGTGCCAGGTGCCGAATGGTACAGACAGGTGTGCACTCGCTCACACCCACGAACAGCTGTGTGGCCCCAGGCCTGTCACAGCCTCTGAGCCCCAGCTGCCCCTCTGCCGATGGGAATGCATCGGACCGCAGGGCGTTCAGTGAGGGCCTGCCTGCTGACCTCATAGCACAGCTACGGGGAGTGCTCAGGGACGGGGCCCATCCGGAGGGTTGCCAGGCTAACAACCAGGATATCCAAACGAATTTTCATTTCAGATGAACAACAAGCCACATTTTAGTATAAGTATACCTTATACAATATTTTGGATACTTATAATTTTTACTTTTAAATATTTTTTATTGATTTCAGAGAGGAAGGGAGAGGGAGAGAGATAGGAACATCAATGATGTGAGAGAATCATCAATTGGCTGCCTCCTGCATGCCTTCTACTGGGATCAAGCCCACAACCCAGACATGTGCCCTGACCAGGAATCGAACCTGGGACCCTTCACTCCACAGGCCGACACTCTATCCATTGAGCCAAACCAGCCAGGGCCATAAATGATTTGTTGTTTATCTTAACTGGGCATTCTGTGTTTTCCTGGCAACCCTACCTTTCTGTTCTCTGGGAACTCAACCTTCTTGAGGGAGACAGAGGCCAAACCAGTTATGTTCAACCAGGCAAGACAGGTGTCCCCGGAGTGGGCCAGGGCAGTATGGGCACAGCGGTGAGAAAGGCCTGCCCTGCCTGGGAGAATCAAGGCAGGCCTCAGGGAGGAGGGATTTGCCCTGAGTCCTAAAGAGCAAGGAGGAGGGAAGGACGTTCTGTAGGAGAGAGCAGGCAGCAGGTGTGGGGCTTACAGGGACAAGGGTCCGTGTGGCTGAAAGGGAGGGAGAGGCCAGGTCAGGCCTTGGTAAGGGGTGGGCTATTCACCCAGGGCAGGGCCGGGCTCAGTCCCAGGTGTACTATAGGAAGGAAGGGCTGGGGAGGAGGGGCAAGCCAGAGGGGCCCTGAGCAGGGCTGACACAGGTCTGAGTCCAGAGGGAGCCAGGAACAGCGCGGCCTAGTGACTAGGCCCGCTGCGACCCACCCTGCCAGCCCTCCAGGGTCCCCGGAAGGGACGAGGGTCTTTGGAAGGCCTCGCAGGGGCGGGTGCTGAGAGCCTCGGTGGGTGCTCCCTGTTCGCAGGGGAGTGAATGCCCAAACCAAGAACGGTGCCACGCCCCTGTACCTGGCGTGCCAGGAGGGCCACCTGGAGGTGACGCAGTACCTGGTGCAGGAGTGCGGCGCGGACCCGCACACGAGCGCCCACGACGGCATGACCCCGCTGCACGCGGCGGCACAGATGGGCCACAGCCCGGTCATCGTGTGGCTGGTGAGGCCCAGGCCCGGGCGGGGCGGAGCCTGGGAGGGGCGGGGCCTGCACGGGGCGGAGCCTGCACGGGGCGGGGCCTGCACGGGGCGGGGCCTGCACGGGGCGGGGCCTGCACGGGGCGGGGCCAGAAAGGGCCCGGCGCCTAGCCCCTCCCTCTTGCCCCGCCCCGCCCCGCCCAGGTGAGCTGCACCGACGTGAGCCTGTCGGAGCAGGACAAGGACGGCGCCACGGCCATGCACTTCGCGGCGAGCCGCGGCCACGCCAAGGTGCTCAGCTGGCTCCTGCTGCACGGCGGCGAGATCGCGGCCGACCTGTGGGGCGGGACCCCGCTGCACGACGCCGCCGAGAACGGGGAGCTGGAGGTGAGGGCGGGGCCGGGGCGGGGCCGGGGGCGGGACGGGGCGCCCTCTGCCGGCGCCGCGCGCTCAGCACAGCCCTGCCCGGCGCGGGGCGCGGGCTAGCGGCGGGGGGTCCCCCCTGCGTGCCCCTGCAGTGCTGCCAGATCCTGGTAGTGAACGGCGCGGAGCTGGACGTCCGCGACCGCGACGGATACACGCCCGCCGACCTCTCAGACTACAATGGCCACAGCCACTGCACCCGCTACCTGCGCACCGTGGAGAACCTGGTACGCCTGGCCGCGGGGGTGGGTGTGGGGGGAAAAGGGGCGTTATCTCACCCCTAGCCCCGCCCTCGCGCCCCCACAGGTAGGTTTTGTTCCCCCTTTTAGCACCGAGGAAGCTGGAGTGCAGGCACGCGAAGCCCCTTGCCTGGATCACACAGGGAGTAAGGGTCCCAGGCCACTTCCCCACATGACTTCTCAGCTGGGTCCATTGGTCATGGAGGGGGGTGCGGGTGGAGGCAAAAAGTCAAGAGAAGGAGGACCAGGGTCGCCCTGACAGGGGCGAAGTCTGGGAGAAGTCACAGGACACATACGAATGGCACAGTTGGGTTCCTTCAGCGGCCACCGCCCGCATGGATCGCTCATTTCCTTCTCGCCACCGTCCCCTGAGGTAGGGGTGTCAGCGTCCCCATTTCAGGGTACACTGAGTCTCAGGGGGGCCCAAGCTCACACAGTACTCAGTGGTGGAGTCCAGTGGCCCGGCCTAGAGCCACCTCTTGACCACTCCACTGCATGCTCACTCAGTGAGCTGCTTCGGAGCTGGAAACCTGCGCTGGTCTTTTTAAATTCCCTTAGTCTGGTTACACAGCCGAGAAGTGACCCACCGGGGCCTGAGCGCAGTGCGGCGGCCTCTGCGTCAGCCGGTGCAATGCCCGCTTTGGGACTTGAGGGAGGAAAGAGGGGAGGCCTCCCAGGTGCCATCACAAGGGCACTGACCAGCTCCCAGGGCAGCCTGGCACGGGAGGGGCTGCGGAGAGAAGGGGATAGCCCCCGACCTGTGAGCACATGGGGCCACCCCATCCTGGGGACGCGGGAGCACAGCAAGGCGCAGGGTCAGAGGCGACCCGGACCTGAGGAGGAATGCCCCCCGAAAGGGCCGCGCAGGGGGAGCGGGTCAGCAGGCGGTGCTCCCTGCGCCGGGCACCTAAGCAGGGAAACACCGTGGCCTTTGGGCGCCAGAGGTGAATTCCCTCCGCTGAGAGTCTGGGTGGCAGAGCCCCACATCCGCTCCTCGCACCTGCCGCCGGCGGGCGCCTGCCCGGAGCTTCAGGCTGTAACCTCAGCCGGTCTCCGTGGGAAATGAATACTAATAGCTAATGTGTGTGGCACTTACTGGCCACCGGGCCCTGGCACTTCACTCACCTTTAAGTCATTTTTACAACCTAACGGGGCCGGCAGCACCGTTTCCCCATTTCCAGAGGAAGGAACGGCTAAAGGAGAGATAAGTGACTTCCCAAAGCCAGCAGCTAGTGAGTGGAGGAGGTGACATTTGAAGGCCGCAGAGCCCGTGTCCCGAACCTGTTACCCGTGGGGCCAGGCCTGGCGCTCCCAGTGCCCACTGCTGTCAGCCACGAAAAGGGCATCTTCAGCTGCCCGCTCAGCTCCTGCGGTTCCCCTTGGCTCCTGGGGTAGGCAGCAGGGATGCCCCCTGAAGTGTGTGGGGTGTGGGGCCGGGCCCCTCACTCAGGTGGGCCCAGTGATGGCGGTGGCAGATCCCAGCCGCAGAGGATGCTGGCCCAGAAAAGGCCAACAGGCCCCAGAGCCCCTCATCACAGGCCAATGAGCGCGGCTGCAGAACCGTTACTTGGCGCCAGCCTGCCTCCGCTCCCGGGGGGCCTGTGACACTTCTCAGGCAGGCGGGCGTGGGGCAGGGAGGCGCAGGCCTGGGCAGAAGCAGCGAGGGAGCGAGCAGGCTTTCGGGCAGCAGAGCAGCATGGGCAACGTAAGCAGGGCCCCCACCCCAGCCCACGCCCATGCCAGGAGGGGCAGGCCTGGGGCGGGGCACGGACAGTGGTGGGGGGTGGCTAGCTGGGTAGCCTCAGCTCCAGATGCCCACGTAGCTCAGCTGGGCCACCCATGCCCCTCTCTTTCCCCGAGGGCCCTGCCTGGAGACAGGGACTGGTGCGGGATTTGCCTAGTCGGGCCAGGACAGACAGGGCTTGCTGGCCAGGTAACGGGGGATCGGTCCTCCCTGCAAGCTGGGGGGCCTTGCACCCCTCCCCTGCCCCCAGCTGCTGCCAGCACTCTCACCAGCTGCAGAGCCTGGCCCTCCCCAAAGATGCACTGGAGCCCAGGCCCTCTGCCCATCGATGAGGAAGAAGGCTGCTGCCCTGTGGCTCGCCCCTGGGGGTGCACCCAGGGCCCCCCCTCCCCTCAGCCTCTCAAACTTCCTGAGCAGGGAGGGGCCAGGAGTAGGAGTTTCCAGGAGCCCAGGTCCTGCTGCTGGGGGGCGGGGCTTGAATCTTAGCCCAGAAAGGGCAGTGGCTTAGCCACGGTCACCCAGCGAGGCTCTGAGCAGGGCCCTGCCCCAGAGCTCGCTGGCCCTGGGGGCTGGCTGTGCTCACGGCCTCCACTCCTCCGCTCAGAGTTTGGAGCACCGCGTGCTGTCGCGGGACCCGTCCGCCGAGCTCGAGACCAAGCAGCCCGACTCGGGCATGTCCTCGCCCAACACCACCGTGTCCGTCCAGCCACTGAACTTCGACCTCAGCTCGCCCACCAGCACCCTCTCCAACTACGACTCCTGCTCATCCAGCCAGTCCAGTATCAAGGGCCGGCGCCCCCCGCGCGGTGAGTGGACTGATGGGAAGAGGGAGGAGGGGGAGCAGCCCCGGGCCACCTCTGCCCACAGCTGACACTGGAGGCTGCCCAGGCCACCAGGAGAGGATGCTGCTTCTGGTGAAAGATAGACACTCGTGTTTGTGTGTCCCCATCACAACATACATGTATATCCACACATTTGCACATGCACCTCGCACACGATATACTATCCTTACTCACACATGCACACACTGTCCCCAGAACTTACACACTCAAGAGTGCACACTTGTGCCCTAGCTGGTTTGGCTCAGTGGCTAGAGCAACAGCCTTCAGACTGAAGGGCCCCCCGGGTTCAATTTCGGTCAAGGCCACGGGTTGCGGGCTTGCGGGCTTGGTCCCCAGTGGGGGGCATGCAGGAGGCAGCTGATCAAGGACTCCCTCATCATTGATGTTTCCCTCTCTCTCCCTCTCCCTTCCTCTCTGAAATCAATAAAATATATATTTTTTAAAAGAGTGCACACTTGTACGTGTGTGCACACAATATACAGATATGAATGCACAACCACCTACTGAGCTGCGCAGATATATACACACACGTACACTACACACAGGCACACAACTCTCCATTCTGTACCCTGGCTGTGCTCACACACACCCCATGTCCACAGACTAACACAGCACATTCATACATACCAAGCCTGTGTACTCACGCACCATCACGCAACATGCACAGACACTCACGCAGAAGCCAGACATGCACGCACACACGCTGACCAGGCCCCGAGCACGGGTCCCTCCACTTGACATGCCTGCTTCATGCCACCAGGTGGTGGCTGCAGAGATGGCGGGCACCCTGAAAAGACTGGGTGTGGCATCCATATTCCTGCCACCTGCCCGGCCGGATCTGCCTGGAAGGCAGCCCTCCCCCCTCCAGGTGGCTCAGCCCAGGGGCACACCTGGAGCCCCAAGCCCCGAGGCTCCCACCCCAAACCTGGGTGAGGTCCGTGAGGTGTGGTCTTTCCCCGACAGGTGCAGGCCTGCGGGAGGGCAGGGCCAAGGCCAGGGTGGGGCCTCGCTGGGCTGCACCCCTGAGTCCACTACCCACTTGGCAAGTTGCTTATTGACAGTAGAGGGTCTCAGTCCTGCGCACAGCCCCTCTGCCAACTCGCAAGCCCAGCATTCCCCCCTCCGCCTCCCCTCCCCCTGCCAGAGCTTCCGAGAGCCAGAGCCGCAGAGATACAGAGCTACGTGGACATGCTGAGCCCGGAGCTGAGCCTGGCCCAGGGCAAGATGGAGAAAACCACACCGCCACCGCCACCCAGCTTCCCGCCGCCACCCCCGCCCCCAGACACCCAGCTGCCCCCTCCCCCACCGGGCTACCCGGCCCCCAAGCCCCCCGCCGGGCTGCAGGCAGCTGACATCTACATGCAGACCAAGAGCAAGCTCCGCCACGTGGAGACCACGGGCTTCCGGAAGGAGGTAGCGAGCCTTCGCCCACCGCCTGCCTCTCAGCGCCCTGGCTGGTGGGGGTCATGGAGGCCAAGGACTGCCGGCTCCTGGGCACCTGACAGGGGTCCCTGGGCCAGTGGCCTGTTCAAGAGTCCATATTCCTGGCAGCCCCGCGGGGGCTCAGGGCTGGGCACTGGGGAGAGGGAGATGGGTAAGACCAAGCCGCCGCCCTCTGCAGAGCTGGGGGGCAGAGAAGGGGCTAGAACATACACCCAGACAGTGGGGCCCTTCGGGTGCTGGGTCCCCGCCACCTCTAGCACAGAGTGGCAGGATAGTCATGGAGTGGCATTCGGTCGGGGCTGAGGGAGGAGTCGAGCACAGGCCCACCCGGTTTGGGGCTGGAGGTCCTGCAGGGAGGTGAGGTGAGAGGTGGCAGGCCAGGCCGGAGATGAGTCCCGCGGAGAAGGGGAGGGGTCCGTGTGGGCGTGTGGAGTGCCAGGTGCTGGGTTGGCAGGGCCTCTGGGGTCCTGGCTGAGGCTCTGGAGTGGGGCTGGGGGCCAGAGGCCTGGGCTGGCAGCTCAGAGTCCTAGGCAGGGAGGCCCACAGGGGCCCTGCCTACAGGCCCAGGGGACCCAGCACAGCTGCTCTGAGAGCAGGGGCAGGGGCGGCCTGAGCCCCCAGGTGGTGGAGTGTGGGGTGGAGGCCCCGGTGGGTCCTGAGGGAGCCCTGACCTTGCATTAGTTCCCTCTGAAGCCCCAGGCAGACCACTCCGGGGCGAGCTAAGTAACCAGTTCGCACAGGTGACCCGGTCACAAGGCCACTGGCGGGGAGGGGAGGCACGGCCTGCACAGTGACTGCACCGCCCCTCTCGTGCCACCTCAGACCAAGCCCCCAGTCGGTTCCCCTTTCATCCCCAGAAGATGCGGGCCCAGGACTTTCCGGACCCGGGCTGGTGGGCCCTGCCCAAAGCCACAGGGCAGGGGGTGGCCTCTGCCCCCCTCTGCCCCCTCCCCTCCCTGAGCCAGAGCACCCGGGACCTCAGTCTGTTCCCCCTCCCGGCGTGTGCGTGCCAGGCCGCAGGCTCCAGGCAGCTCCACAAAGGGCCCTTTGTGCGCCCGCGGGCCCCCAGCCCCGGCCTGGCTGCCTGACCGCCGGAGCAGGGTCGCGGCTCTGCGCCTAAGGCTGCGGGGGGCGCGAGGGGCGGGCCGGCCCGGGAAACAAATCCTGCGGTGTCGCGTTTCCTGCAACGTGAGCCGGGTCAGGCGGGGCGGAGGGTCCGGGCCACCGCAGGGACAGGGGCTGGGAGGGGCAGGGGGACAGCCCCCGCCCGCGGACTCGGCCTTTGGCCCCGCTGCCTCTCGTCCTCTCAGAGCGGGGCTTAGTGGGGGGCAGCTGCGACGGGGCGGGCGCTAGCTGTCACCCGAGCCGCCTCGCGGCCCCTGAAACCCGAGGCTGGGGCGAGGGTGTCGGTGTCGCTTACGCGGATGGCGATGGTTTCCAGATGCGGCCTGGAAGGGCGGGGGCGTGACCCCGAACCCAGGGGGCTACGTAGGGGAGGGGCTCACTGTCCGCAGAGAGGCCGGGGTATTCGGTTTCGGAGGATGGAGGGGAGGACGGAGGGATGGAGGATGGAGCGGAGGGATGGAGGCCGGGTGCTCGGCAGCACCCAGCAGAGGAGAGGCGCGCAGGGGCGGGGTCACATCTGGCCCGCGGGCGGGCGTGGTGCGCGGCCAGGTGTGCGGAGCCGGCCAGGTGTGGCGAGCCGCGGGCGCCCCCGTGCATCCCCCACCGGCGAGGATTGGCGGGCCCGGGTGATGTCAGGACGACAGAGCTCCTGGGCGCTCGGAGGCGCGGGCCGGGCTGTAACCCGAGAGGGAGGATCGGGTAGCGCAGGTGTCGGGTCCCCGCCTCCCCGCCGCCAGGTGCACAGCGGGGGCCACCGGCACAGGCAGAGGTAGGAGCAGCCCCGGCCTCGGGCTGGGCAGCCGGGCCCTGGGCAGGCGGGAGCCTCCGAGGACTCGGGCGCTAGAGGGGGCTCCCTCGGGGCGCATCCCCGCGAGAGGGTTCGGCGGAGACTCGGGGCTGGGTCGGCGGGTGAGGGCGCCGGGACTGGGGTGCGGCGGAGGCTTTAGCGGCGGCTCAGCAGGGAGCTGCCCTTCTCCGGCTCCCCCTGGCGTCGGGGCTGGGCCACCCCGCCCCTGGGCCCGCCCCTTCGAGCCTCAGTGGGGCCTCTGCGCCCCTTGGCCGGTGCCCAGAACACCACCTCCCCGCAGGGTCAACCGAGCCCCGTGACCCCCGCCCCACCCGCGCTCCGAGAGCAGGAGGGGCTAGGAACGCGGCGCGCTGCACCTTCGACGGCCGCGGGCCGTGACCCCCGGGGAGGGGAAGAGGGGGAGGGAGCCCCGGGACCCGGCCTGGAGCCCACGCCCCCTGTCTCTCCGCAGCTGGGCTCCCGCGCCGGCCACAACGGGCTGCGGAGGCAGGACTCCGGCCGCAAGCCCCGCGCCTTCAGCAAGCAGCCCAGCACGGGGGACTACTACCGCCAGCTGGGCCGCTGCCCCCGCGAGCCGGCCGCACGCCCGGGCATGGCGCACAGCGAGGAGGTGCGTGCCCGCCAGCCCGCACCCGCCGGCCGCCTCGGACCCGGCCGGGCGCCCCGCTCCTCACTCGCTGGCCCCTCCGCTCCCCCGCAGGCGGCGCTGCTCCCCGGGAATCACGTGCACAACGGCTGCGCGGCGGAGCCCAAGGCGTCCAGGGAGCTGCCGCCGCCGCCGCCCCCGCCGCCCCTGCCCGAGGGCCTGAGCTCGCCGCCGCCCGCTCCGCCTCTGCCCTTCGAGGGCGCCGGCCCCGGCTACGGGCAGCGCCGCTCCTCCTCGTCCACCGGCAGTGAGTAGGGGCAGGTGGAGAGGCGGGAGGCCCGCTGGCCCGGAAGGGGGAGGGGGAGACTTAGACAACGCCCCCGCCCTGCTGGGACTGCCCCAGCGCCCCTTCTTTTCCTACTGCTCTTCCTGCAGCCCCTCCCCTCGGGGAAGGCTCTGCCGCGCAGGCCTGGGCTGTGTGACCTGGGGCAAGTCTCCGTCCCTCTCTGGGCCTGCTTCCCATGGGGGGGGGGGGGGAGGCCGCAGGGGCTGGTGGCCGCTGCCTCTGGTGAGCCGGAGCTAGAGGGGAGCTCTGACAAGTAGAACTGACTTCAAGGAGGCAGGGCTGCGGTCCCCCTCCTCCCCCCACTCGGTCCTGAGTCTCTCCTAGCCCCCTTCTCGGGGTCTCCCAAGCGAGCTCCAGCCCTGAGTCCTTCCCAGGGCAGCACAGACTCTTCCCAGCCTGCGAGGCCTGGCTATGGGGACAAGGCCAGTGACCCCGCAAGCCTGTCCCCGCTGGTGACTCTTGGGCATCCTTTTGTAAGAGCTAGACGATGGCATTCTCTTCTGTAGTGGGGGGCAGTCTCCTGCTCACCAGGCTGCTGGGAGGCTGGAGGCGGGCCCAGCCCAGCCACGCGGGGCAGGGACCATCAGGGCACCGCCCAAAGCTTCCTCTCCCTGACTAGGATGCAAGGGCACAGGGGGGTCCCTCGTATTGCCTGGGGTTCCTAGGGAGCCCCAGCCCCTGCAGACGCCAGCTCAAGGTCAGTTCCCCATCTGCAGCCTGGAGCAGGCCTGCGGCTAGAGGACAGGGTAGACCCTACCCCAGCCCAGTGCCAGGACGGAGGCCCTTGCTATGGGAACCAGGGCTGGGGCACCAGCAAAGCTGGCCACTGAGCAGACCACCCTGTGGACCCAGGGCCCAATGGGCTTCAAAGCTCTCCTCCCCTCACCCCTCCTCTGCACATCTCCCTTCCCCGCTCCTGCCCACCCCTCTCTCGCTGTCCCTGCTCTCCCAGCCTCACCCCAGCCCCTCCCTCTTCTAACTGCACTGTCACTTCTCTCCTCTCGGTCTCTAGAAGTGAGAGTCCTGAGGCACAGGAAGAGTGAGTAGCTGCGTTCACGCTCCCGCTGAGGCGCGGGGTTGGGGGACAAAGCAAACGCTCAGGGAAAGCAAGGCCCCAGGGATGAGGGACTTGAGGAACGGGCAGAGCCAGGGGCCAGTGGCTGGAGCTGGCCCCATACCTTTCCCTTTTTCCTCCTGCCCACACTGTGCTCTGGGACCCACCGCCGAGGGCGGCCAGGAGCTGCTGGCCTGTCCCCCGCACCCAGCCCAGACCCCATCCTTGGGCTCTGAAGTCAGCCCTCCCCAAACCCAGTCACCTCCGCTGGCCTCCCGGAACATGCAAACTCCCGCTGGGCATTTGCATGCTCCCCGCCTGGCCCTCCTTCCGGGCGGCACGCTCCGTGTCCTCAGGAAGGGCTCCGCTGTCCCGGGTCCCAGAGCTGAGAGAGCTGAGAAGCGCTTTGCCATAAGTGTGCTCCGGGCTTGCACCCAGTGTGTCTGCACGCGTCTGTCTGTGGGTTTGGGGGCGGGGCTGGCTGGGCTGTGGTATCCAGGGTTCCTAGTCCGAATGGCCAGAGAGGCTCAGGCGACTCAGTCCAAGGGTCACTGGGCTCTGCTGATGCAGAGAGGGCCGGAGGCAGACTCCACCCTGGCCAGTGGAGCCAGGGAACCGGGGGACAAAGGTCGGGGGGCTGGTCCCAGGTAGTGTTTGGGAGCTAAGCAGTCAATGCCCGGGTGGAGACGTTCACTCAAGTCCCCAGAGCCAGCCCACGAGCCATCATGGACTCCCAGGGGCCTCCAGGTGGGGGCCCCACGCCCCAGCATGAGTAGGGCTGGGAGAAGGGTGGGGGTGCGGGACTTCCAGCGAAGGATCTGGCTCTGGGGTCCCCGAGAGCCAAGTCACCCGCCAGGCTTGGGATCTGGAATGCTGCCCTCTGGGCCCGAGGGGAGGCTGCGGTCGATCGCCTCCTGACTTGGGGAGGGGACAGCAGAAGGGCAGGTCCCCACCGGCCCCCACCCCACCCCTTGCCAGCGCCTCCTCTCCTACCTCCCCCAGGCACGAAGTCTTTCAACATGATGACGCCCACCGGTGACAACGCGGAGCTGCTGGCTGAGATCAAGGCTGGCAAGAGCCTGAAGCCGACGCCTCAGAGCAAGGGTCTGACCACCGTGTTCTCCGGCAGCGGGCAGCTGGCTTCCCAGGTAGGGCGGTGGTCTGAAGGGGCCCCATGCTGGCTCCCCGCCCCGGCTCCCCGCCCCAGCTCCCCGCGCCCCTGCTCAGCCCCGCCACTTCTCCCCATAGCCTGACGCGCAGCTGCCGCCAGTGTCACCAGCACCTTCCCGGCCCCGGAGCCCCACCCCGCCAGCCGCCGGGCCCCAGCCGCTGCTCAATGGCAGCTTGGCGCCGGCGCCGCCCGCCACCCCCGCGCCAGGGGTGCAGCTGGACGTGGAAGCGCTCATCCCCACGCACGACGAGCAGGGCCGGCCCATCCCCGAGTGGAAGCGCCAGGTGATGGTCCGCAAGATGCAGCTGAAGATGCAAGAGGAGGAGGAGCAGAGGCGGAAGGTGGGCCGGGTGGGGCTTCCCAGAGGTGGGGCTTCCCAGCACCCCAGCCGGCAAGGCCCTGCAGCCTCAGGCAACTCCCATTACCTTTGGGGCCAGGCAGCCCGGGACCTTGTAAACATGCTCTTCTGGTTCAGGGGCTCTGGTGGGGCTGAAATTCTGCAACAGCCTCAGGGGAGGCGGACAGCTGTCCGGAGCCCACACTCTGAATAGCCCAGAGGCTCTCGGTCAGACTGTCCGGGGCTCTTTCCTTGTATTTCCACCTTCCAGCCTCATCCAGCCTCAGTTTCCTCATCTGTCAGATGGGTTGATCATCACTGGCTGGCAGGATGTTTGGCCATCGACCCATTTAACATGTTCCCTGGGTGTCGTCTATGTGCCACACACATTGTAGTCTCTTGGGACCCATGGACTGTATCAAGGTCTGCTCTTGCGGGGCTGCAGGAGTGGGGCAGAGGGCTCAACCAGCAAGCAAGCACAGCACCTCAGTGAAGCGAAAAGTGCCCCCACATAACTGGGCTGGCACAATATGGGCATCGCTGTGGTGGAGCAGGCAGAGGGCTGGGACAGCCCCAAGCCCCCCATCCTGTTTGGCTGGGGGCGGGGGTGGGAAGGAGACAGTGAGGTCTAAGGTGGACTTGGAGATGAGAAAGTAGTGGACGGGAAGCGTGGGGCAAAGAGCAAGCAGGCGGGAGAGGGGAGGGCTGGGAGTCCGTGGGCGTGGCTCCGTGACTGTACTATGGAAGGAAAGGGGTAGAGCTGGGGATGGGGGGGGTAGTCTTGAGAAATGGACCTTCTCCTGGAGCAGTGTGTAGTCTGGAGGGGGTAAGGCTGGGAAGTGGCATCATTGGATTTGTATGTGGGGACTGTGGTGGGTCAGGATGAATCGGGAGGGCTGTGAGGAGGTGAGGGCAGCCCTCCACCCTCCACCCTCCACCATCCACCATCCAGGCTGGAAAAGCTTGGCACTAGAGTTGCAGCCTAGCGGTGAAGCAAGGCAAGGAAAAAATGTATGAACGGCCTGGCAAGCCCAGCTCTACAAACTGTATTATTACTAACGGGATGTGAGGGGGTGGGAATAGGAGTGGACGCCACAGCTTCAGCCTCTTTTTTAAAAATATATTTCTATTGATTTCAGAAAGGAAGGGAGAGGGAGAGAGAGAAACGTCAATGATGAGAATCATTGATGGGCTGCCTCCTGGACACCCCCTACTGGGGATGGAGCCCGAAACCCAGGCATGTGCCCTTGACTGTTATCGAACCCGGACCTTTCAGTCGGCAGGCTGATGCTCTGTCCACTGAGCCAAACCAGCTAGGGCAGGGATGGCGAACCTATGACATGCGTGTCAGAGGTGACACGCGAACTCATTTTTTTGGTTGATTTTTCTTTGTTAAATGGCATTTAAATATATAAAATAAATATCAAAAATATAAATCTTTGTTTTACTATGGTTGCAAATATCAAAAAATTTCTATATGTGACACGGCACCAGAGTGAAGTTAGGGTTTTTCAAAATGCTGACACACCGAGCTCAAAAGGTTCGCCATCACTGAGCTAGGGCCAGTCTCCTTTAAGAGCCTGTGGTTGGGACTAAAACACCGACATGGTGGACAGAGAGGGCTTGGGCCACAGGATGAGAAGGGGTATCAGTGTGGGGCGAGGAGAGCCTCTTTGGGATCTGGCCTCAAGGTCGCAGAGCTTGGATGAGGTGGGAGGGCCGCCTTGCGTCGCAGCCTCAAGGCCTTTTGCATGTTCTTCGGTGGTGTAATGAGCGACCAAGCCAGGCACGGAGCCATCTGCCCGCCCTGCCTCTGCAACACCACCCAGCGACCGGCTGTGTCCCCGCCAGCGACCCAAGTGGACACTGCCCAGCGCCCGGAGCGGCGGCCTGGGCCGAAGCCTCGCCCAACGTAATCGCCCGCCGGCCAGGCGCGGCTCGTCCCTGCAAACTCAGCCCCGCGGAGCCATTACACCACCGGGGACATGCAAAGGGCGCCCCCGGCGGCCGCTGCGGGAGCTGGGCCAGAGGGAGACCCGCCTCCCTCCCCTCTCTTGTCTTCCCCGCCTTAGCTGACAGCCGCCAGCTCGTGCTGCTACCCCCGCGAGGGCTGGAGGTACTCCCGCGAGTACAACGGCATCCTCGGGCCCTTCGGCGAGCTCATGACCGAGGCCGACATCCTCCGCATCGAACAGCAAATCGAGAACCTGCAGGTGCTGCACAAGGCGCAGAAGCTGGAGGCGCGCCTGAAGCAGCTGGAGCTGGAGCTGGAGCAGCTGCTGCCCATCTCAGCCGCGCTGTCGGCGCCGCGCTTCACCGTCGACCCGCGGCGCATGCACGGCCGCGCCGCCAGCCTGCCCGCCTGGTGCAGCAAGATCTCCACGCTGCTCAAGAGCATGGCCACGCTGCTGGCCGCGCTGGGCGGCCGGCCCACGCACCTGGCCGAGCTGCTGGCCGCCGACACGGGCCAGCCGCTGGCGCCGCTGCCCGACGCGCCCTGGCGGCCGGGCCCGCTCTGCCTGGGCCGCTCGCACTCGCTCAGCTGGTGCCGCGAGGCCGTGGCGCGCGAGATCCTCGAGTGCGGCGTCTCCGTGAAGCACCTCCGCGCCACCTACGAGCTGCGCGCCCAGGGCTCCGCGCCCCCGCGCGGCCCGCGCCGCAAGTTCTCGCTGTCCCCCGGCGCCCCGGGCCGCGAACCCATTCTCGAGGAGGACTACATGGCGGCCAGCCCCGGCGAGCCGAGCGCCGCCGCCTCCAACCGCCGGCCGCCAGCCCCGGAGCCGCTGGGCTACCCGGACCCGCCCGAGGCGCCGGGCCGCCAGGCGGCGCTGCCCGAGCCCGAGCTGCTGGCGCGCAGGCCGCCGCTGCCCACCGAGCTGAGCGGCGTCCAGGACTACATCGACCTGCGCAAGGAGCGCATCGTCTACCTCTTCCTGGAGCACTGGCGCAAGTGGACCTTCGGCGGCCACGGGCGCCAGGCCCGGGCGCGCCTCCGCAGACTGCTCCCCCGCGTGGTGGCCGCGGGCGCCGGCCCGGCCCCCGAGATCGCCGACGCCCCCCAGCCCCCGGCCGGCGAGGGCCCCGACGAGCGGCTGCAGCGGCTGCTGAAGCAGCGGCAGGTGGTGGGGAAGCTGCTGGGCCGCTGGCGGAGCCTCCTGCGGCAGGTGCCCGCGCGCCAGCCCAGCGCCCCGGTCCTGGCGCACGGCCTGTACTGGCCGGAGCACTTCCTGCCGCCCCTGGACGGCGGCGCGCCCCCGCGCTACGACAGCCTCACCCTGGACCTCTTCATGCTCGGCTACTTCCAGCTGCTGGAGATGGGCCTGAGCCGCGAGGAGCGCAGGTTCCGCCACCTGCTGTGCTACGAGATGTTCGACCGGCTGGGCAGCCACCCGTGGGAGCTCATCCGCCGCTTCCACCGCGTGGCGCTGGAGGAGGTGGAGGCTGGCCGGCGGGGCTGGCGCGACGGCTTTGAGGATCTCAGGCAACAGTTCTTTGGAGACGGCCCGGAAGCTCAGCGGCCTTGGGAGGAAGAGGCCGAGAAGGAGCAGGAAGAGGAGAAAGAAGAGGAGGAGAAAGAGGTGGAGGAGAAGGACGAGGACGAGGAGGAGGAGGGGGAGAAGGGGAAGAGGGAACAGGCCCAAGAAGCTGCTTCAGCTCAGACGGACTGGCCAGAGGGGCAGCCGGAGGCCCCGGCCCCCGCCCCGCAGCCCCCGCCTCCTGCGCCGCAGCCCCCGCCCCCGCCCGCCGAGCCTCCCCCGCCCTTGGACCCTCCTAGCTCCGAAGCCCCCGCTGAAGACCCCCTGGAACTGTTTACTGAGATGGGCGAGTTCAGCAACGAGGACATCTGCCGGTACATTGACCGCAGCTTCTCCTTCTGGAAGGAGAAGGAGGCGGAGCTTTTTGACATCTGAGCCGCAGAATTCAGGATTTCCCCTCACGCACCTTAGCCTGGGCCTGGATGTCTGCCTGGATGCCTGGGTGATGCGCTCCGAAGTCAGAAGCGAACCAAGAACCCTGGAGGGTGGCCTTGGAAAACCCAGGACCAGGCTGCCTGGCCACTGAGGTCGCATCATGGCCGGCTGTGGGGAGTTGGCCGGATAGGCCAGGCATGGCACAGGGCAAACCAGGAGTGCCCTCTGGCCCTGCAGCCTTGCCTGGCTCCGTGTGGAGCCAGGTGGAAGGAGCAGCCCCTCTGAGCGAGGGACTGTGGGTCCCCCTTGGGGCTGTGTGGCTCTCCACCCCTCTCTGGATTTCACTGGGGTTCACAGCTACCTCTTTGGTTACGGTGGGGGAGCCAGGTGTGCAGTGTTCCGTGTGACGTGTCCTCTGTAAGGTGCGAATAATAAAACCCTTCGCTCTGAGCTGCCTGTGTTGGATGCCCCCCGCTCTCAGTTGTAAAGTTCATGTCTACTCCACTTGGGAAGGGCCTTCACGGCGGAACCGGGGCCAGCCTGAGCCTCTCAGAGCTGGCAGGGTCTGCGGGGGCCCAGGTATGGGTCTGGCTGAAGATCATGGGTCACAGGCCTGGGGCCATCTGTCTGCCTGCCTGTATGGGGACTCTCATTCCCTGCTCTCACCACCTGCACTCAGCTCTGACCCTTCTGGCGCCGCCTCTAGGACACAGGCCTGAGTTATAGGGGGAGAGAGGGACCGCCTGCCCCTTGCAAGGGGCGTGTGGCCAGGCTCCTCCATCCACTTGCCCTAGAGAAAGGTATCAAAGGGTCTCTTCCTGTACCTCCGTTTGTGTCCTGTTGTCCCTAACTCCTGCAGGTCCCCCCAGTTGGGGATGCACCCCCTCTTGCCCGTACCTCCCAGCCCGTGGTACCCTGAAGCTTTGTGTGTGTTTCAGGAGGAGGAAGAGGAGGCCCGGCTGGCCAACATGCCTGCCTGGAGGCGGGACCTTCTTCGGAAGAAGCTAGAAGAGGAGAGGTGAGCTGGGGTCTGGCAGGGTGTCTGGATCATGTCCCTGAAGTGGTGGCACCAACTAATGCTGTCTCTTTTTCCTTCTAGGGAGCAGAAGCGGTGAGTGAGGGGCTGGTCCCAACCTGCCTCCCCTCCTTTGCCCCTTCATCTAGTCCCATCTTGAGCTCATCCCCTTGTCACTCGGCCCCGTAGCGCAGCCTCTCTGCTTCTAGTAATGCCACCAGCACCCCCCCCCCCCAACTAGACCCGGTCCCCAGAGTCTAGCTCTTATGCTGTAATGACCACGTCCCCAATTACCCAGCCCTTCTCCCTCATTAACCTAGTCATTCTGCTCAGTTAAAAAAAAAAAAAGAGCCGAAACCGGTTTGGCTCAGTGGATAGAGCGTCGGCCTGCGGACTGAAAGGTCCCAGGTTCGATTCCGGTCAGGGGCGTGTGCCTGGGTTGCGGGCACATCCCCAGTAGGAGATGTGCAGGGGGCAGCTGATCGATGTTTCTCTCTCATCGATGTTTCTAGCTCTCTATCTCTCTCCCTTCCTCTCTGTGAAAAATCAATAAAATATATTTAAAAAAAAAGATATAGGTGAACTTAATTTTCATAGTATATTTTAAATATATTTTTATTGATTTCAGAGAGGAAGGGAGAGAGAGAGAGAAACATCAATGATGAGAGAGAATCATTGATCGGCTGCCTCCTGCACACCCCCCACTGGGGGTCTAGCCCACAACCCAGGCCTGTGCCCTGACGGGGAATCGAATGGTGACCTCGTGGTTCATAGGTGGATGCCCAACCACTGAGCAACACCAGCTGGGCTATAGTATATTTTATATAACTCGATATATCAAAATTCAATTGTATACTTCAACATATAATCAATGTAAAATTATTACTGAGATGTCCTGCACGCTTAAATCTAAGTCTTTGCGATGCCATGAGCACCTTATGGCTGCAGCACACCTCAAGCCTAACATTTCAAACCCTCAGCAGCCCCATTTGCTCAGTGGCTGCCTTAGCAGTGCAGACCTAGCCACCACACTTTTGTGTTGTTTGGGGTTTTTTTTTTCCTGGAAAACAAAAAGTGCTTTGTTTTTCTAAATTTATCTTTTTTTAAAAAAATATATATATTTTATTGATTTTTTACAGAGAGGAAGGGAGAGAGATAGAGAGTTAGAAACATCGATGAGAGAGAAACATTGATCAGCTGCCTCCTGCACATCTCCCACTGGGGATATGCCCGCAACCCAGGTACATGCCCTTGACCGGAATCGAACCTGGGACCCTTCAGTCCGCAGGCCGACGCTCTATCCACTGAGCCAAACCGGTTTCGGCCTAAATTTATCTTTATTGTTGAAAGTATTACAGATGTCTCCCATATTCCCCCATTGCCCCACATTTTAATAATTTGTCCATAATTACCAGCCCCTGCCTCCCAATAGTGTGGTCCCTCTGCTCCCCAGAGTCCATCCTCAAGCCCCAGTCACTCAGGCCCTCTCCCCAATAATCTCATCCCCCGTCCCCAAAACCACCCCTCCTCACCCTCAGCCTCACGGTGATCAGCACCTGTTCCAGTGAACCCCAGCCAGCAAAAACCCAGCCACGGCCTCCTGCTCACCCAGCTCCTAGGAGCGCCCCAGCAATCCCAATCTGCCCCCAGCAATCCCTTCTGCCTGCCTCCTACCCCAGCCCCTGGCTCCAGTCCCCTAGCACCTCTGCCCCTAGAAGCCACTGCCCACCTCCCATCAGCCCCTCTGCCCTCAGTGGCGCAGCCCTGGCCCCCTCACCCCTGCGGTGGTTCTGTGTCTAGAAAAGAGGAGGAGCGACAGAAGCAGGAGGAGCTGCAGCGGGAAAAGGAGCAGTCGGAGAAGCTGCGGACGCTGGGCTACGACGAGACCAAGCTGGCGCCCTGGCAGCGCCAGATCATCCTGAAGAAGGGGGACATCGCGAAGTACTAGACTAGACGCCGCTTCCTCCCGCTCCTCGGCAGCGGGGGCGGGTGGACGGGGGCGGGGAGGCGGCCCCTGCCCCAGCCGCCCCAGCCTGGACGGACCCGCTGGGAGCCACGCCACCCCCCTCCGGCCCGGCACCCCTCCCTGACCCCCGCCCTCGCACCCCCAGCCCCGGAACGGGCCGGAGCGCGCCCACCCGCCACAGTCGCCCAGAAAAAGTGCCCAAGTTGTTGACGCAAAAGATGCTGCTTATTTGCATGGCTATTTACATATATTTGCATGTTCGTTGAATGTCAACGAGTGCAGAGCTCTTCCCAGCCCCGTGGGTGGTGACTTTGTTTTCCTGCGGGACCCGTACCGGCTGCAGCCCCCTCCCCCGCACCCCGGAACCGCGTCGCCGGCACATCCTGGGCGGAGGCCGGCCAGGTTCGGGAAGGGAAGGGAAGGGGTTTTCCTGCCGCCCTGACCTAGATCCGCGCCCGGCCCCGGGCCGCATTTCCCATCCCCGCGAGGGTTTCCTCTCAGTCATTTGTTTACCAGAAACGATAAAAACTGCCCGTCGAGACGGAGTTGTCGCTCCCGTGACCTCCGCGCGCCTCCCCGGCCAGGCCCCAGCACCTCGCCCCCTTCACTGCAGTGGTGGGGTGCCTGGAGGACCAGGGGCCCCGAACCCCCACTGCCTGCTGCCTCCCGGCCCCGCGCCCCCGCCGGCTCGCTCCCCCATTAAAGCTCTCTCAGACGCCCGGCCTCGCTCACTTCACTCTCGCTCCCCGCCGCCGCCTTCCTCTCCCTCCCGGGGTAACGGGGCAGCCGCCACAGCGGAGCGGGAGGGCCAGGCTGGGGCGCTGAGGGCCACCCTGGTTCCCACCGTGCGTCCCAGTCGCTGGCTGGCAAGCCTTCCGGCCCTTCCGACGCCTCAGGAAACCAAGCCTGGGCCACTGCATACCCCAGCCCCAGCCCCAGCCCGTGGAGACACCAATCGGCAGCTTTTCTTAATCGATTTAATACCACAGCCCCGGCCCACTCAGGCTGAGCGCCAGCCGAGCCATTTCCTAACCCCTCCCCGTGCTCCCCGCCGCGCCTCTGCCCTCAGCAGCCCCCAGGGGGCGGGCGGGGCCGGCTGGCGCTGCTACGCAGGGCCGTGCCAGAGGCGCACATAATAAGTGACATAAAATGTCTACACGCGTAAGTAACAGTACTTAGGGCTTCTGCAAGGGCCCTCGGGGCCCCCGGCTGGCGGGCGGGCCCCGCGTCACGGGCCGCGCTGCAGGCGGCTGCGCAGGTCCTCGGCGCAGCCGTCCAGCCCCATGCGCTCCAGGGCTGCGTAGATGGCGCCCAGGCCCGCGGGCTGCTGCTGGCGCCAGCGCTTGAGCATCTCGTACTGCTGGTCGCGGAAGCGGCCCACCTCCACCTCCACGGCCTCGATCTCGGCCTCGCGCAGCCCCAGAGTCCGCACGAACTCCTTCCAGCGCCGCGCGGGCACCGCGTCCATCACGTCGTAGAACTGCGGGCCCAGCTGCAGCGTGGCGGCCGCCGAGCCTGCAGGGGGCGCTGGCGAGAGCGGCGGCGGCGGGCCTGGGGACAGACCAGAGAGACCCTGGGAATGTGGTCTGTGGCCAGGGCCTGGGAGGTCCTCCCGGTTAGTTAGGGAACGGGAAGTGGGCAAGCGGCGCCCCAGGAAACCGCAGCTTTCACCTGGGACTTGGGCGGATGGGGTGAAGTCTCTTACCCAGAGCTCCGCTGCGCAGCTGGTCCCAGGACCACGGCACCTCCGCGCCAGGCGTTTCCTGGGTCTGGGGGCAGCCAGGGGTCCAGCTGTGGCCTACCAACTGGCCGGGGCAGACTTTCTCACTGCCGCTGGGTGGCACCACAAGGAGGTGGGCACTCTCAGGGGGCAAGAGGTGGGTGGTCTGGAAGCCAAGAGAGGCCCCAGGTCAGCCCTGCTTACCTAGCAGGCCGCTCTGCTGGAGCCTGGCCAACAAGCACCCCCAGGGCCGCCTCCGGGCGGGCCATGTCCTCTCACCGGCCCCACGGGAGAGCTGTGTCCTCTGCTGGAGTCCCCAGCCCCTGCCCTTGCCAGGGTGGCATCATCCCCCTGAACGGTTAGCTCCTGTTAACCTGAGGACCGCAGCCTCCTGAGAGCCACCGCCTGAGGACAGGCCCGTGCTGCCCTCATTCCCTGATAACTTGGCACACGTGTTTGTGAGGTCTCCTCCATGCCAGCCACGCCCTGGGCACCGGGAGTTCTGATAAGGCCCGACCTCTGGGCTCCAGAGGCTGAGGCCTGGGCACTTGCTCACCCTCACCCAGAACGTGATTGGGATTCTCACCGGCAGGGTGGTCAGGGCCTCCATCCCGGCTCCATCTGCTGAGAGACAAGAGAGCTTAACCAGCAACCAGGCAGGGCTCCTGGACCTGGATGCTGGTCCAGCTTCGCTTGGGTTCCTCTACCAGCGGTTCTCAACCTTCTGGCCCTTTAAATACGGTTCCCCATGTTGTGACCCAACCATAAAATTATTTCCGTTGCTACTTCATAACTGTCATGTTGCTACTCTTATGAATTGTAATGTAAATATCTGATATGCAGGATGGTCTTAGGTGACCCCTGTGAAAGGGTCGTTCGACCGCCAAAGGGGTCGCGACCCACAGGTTGAGAACCGCTGCTCTACACACACACACACACACACACACACACACACACACACACACACACCAGCACTCCCCCAGCTCCCCTCTGCATCAGGCCGAGCGGGCTCTGGCTACCTGTTCTGACCCCGGGCTCATAGGAGTGTGTGCATGTATGCGTATGCATGTGTATGGGGTGGTATTCATGCATGTGTGGCATGCATGTGTGTGTATGCACATGTGGGTATGCACGTGTGCGCGCGTATGTATGTGTGTGGGTATGCACGCGTGTGTGAGCAAATGTGCATGCACTTACCAGGAACCATGGGCTTGCAGGGCTGGCAGCGGCGGTATGTGTAGGTTAGGGTGGCACCAAGCATGAGTGGAACCACCAGGCCCGCCAGGAGCACCTGGACCCAGAACACTGAGGGAGCACTTGGTGGGTGCTGGGTGGTAGCCACCCCCAGGCTCCCCTCGGCCCTTCCCAGCTCTCCTGCTGTGTCCCCAGCATGCCACCTACTCTGCCTCCAGCCGCAGGCAGCCGCGCAGGGCTCAGGACAGCTCCAGAGGGTGCTCCTGCTGGGGGCGGGGGGTCAGGGAGTGAGGACCCACCCGGCGGGCTGTCCAGGCTGCCTGACCTCTCCATCCCTTCCAGGCCTCTTCCCCGGGAGCCTCGCTCTACCCAAGAATGTTCCCGAAGGACTGCTGAAACGCCCGTGTCCCCAGTAACTATATCAACCACCAGGATTTATCAAGCTGCTTCTAGGCCCGATTGAGGGCCACTAAAAGGCCAGCTCCATAGGACCAGGACCGCCTGTTGTGCTCCCTGGTGTACCCCAGCACCTGGAAGGGGGTCTGCAGATGGGAGGTGTTCTGCGGGGGGACCACGAACGCCCCCAGGTTCAGATGGGGACGCCACACATCGGAGTGAAGTCGCTTGCCCAACAGCCTCCAGGGAACCAGGGGCGGGTCCTGAGTCTCAGCCCAAGCTTTGAAACCACCAATGCCCCTCTCTGTACACGCCAAATCCTCTTCCTCACGCACAGCTGCAAGGACTACCACAGGGCCCTTACTTGCCTGGCACAGGTGAATCCACGTCTCCCTTTACATGTCTGTCTGGAGGGGCCCACCCACCACAGGGCCAAGCCCCCTCCTCCCTGCCCCTGGCCCCGCTCTGCGCCCCGCTCCCCTCCCCCTGCCCAGGGCAGCCAGGAAGTTACGTGGGGCAGGACACACAGCTGTTGCCATGTTCATAGAAGCCAGGCAGGCAGGCGCCACATTCGGTGTCTCTGCTGGAACCTGTACACCAAGAGACGGGGTGGGTCAAGGTGGGAGAGAGGGAGGCAGGGGGATCAAGATGGGAGAGAGGGAGGTGGGGGTCAATAGCCCGTGTTGGGGGTACTCACAGGGCACCCGCGTGTGGCGGTGCAGGGCCCCGCAGTCTAGGCACGGGTGGCAGAGGAAGGGCGAGCTGCCGATGCAGTGTGGGACCAGGCACTCCACAAACCAGCCTGGCGGGCAGCCACACCTGGTGTCGGCCACTGCTGAGCAGTTCTCCAGGGCCACCTGGGAGGCTGGTGGGGGTGCAGGGAGATGGGGGAGCAGAGGCCGTTAGGGGCAGATCCCCGGAAGAACAGAGACAGGGCCACCCCAAGGGAGAGGGAAGCGCACACCCCACAGACCAGGCCTGAGGTTTGTGCAGACAGGATGGCGGCCAGGAGGGAAGGGCGCCCTGAGGTAGGGTCAGGAGAGGGGCCAGAGGGGGGTGGCCCAAACCAGCCACTTCCTTCAGAAGGAGGCAGGCACAGCCTGTCCTCAGGGCCCCCACCGGACACCAGCAGCTCCTCACCCTGCTCATCGCAGGCCTGGCAGCGGGTGCAGCTGGTCTCGTGGTGGTGCTCCCGGGCCAGGAAGGTGCCCTGGGCGCACGGGATGCAGGTGGCGTTGCCACAGGGCTCTGTGCAGCGGGCCACTAGGTATTGCCCTGTGGAGCCCAAGCTGGGGTCAGAGAGTTAGAGGGGCTCCCGCCTTCCCTCCCTCCCTCCCCCCCTCCCTCCCTATTTCTCTCCCAGCCTCCCCCCCCCCCCCCCCCCCCCCGGCAGCCACTCACCTGCCGGGCAGCCTCTGCAGCAGAGCGGATCCGTCCTCTTCCGAAAGTCGGGGGCACAGTCACACCTGGGGCTGGGGGTGCCACCCCGGCCCTGGGCGCCCAGCAGGAGCAGGAGGAGGGCCTGGGAGACAGGGGCTGCTGGCTCCCGCGTGAGCATGGCTTCCCCACGCGGGGTCTCTCCCTGCCCAGTCTCCCCAGCGTCAGAGGCCCCGGGATGTTGCCCTCAGAGCAGCCCACTTCTCAGGCTCTTGGGCAGAAGGGGTGCCCAGGGGGTGGGGATGAGACAGGGAGACAGGCCCGGCTGGGCAAGAGGAGGGCTCCCCCAGCCCCTCACAGGGCCCCTCCAGCAGGAAACAGGCAGCCCCAACCCCACCCCGCCCGAGGGACCCCGCTCTCTCCCTCCGGGGCCTCCAGACCTCAGGGACCCTGGCAGGGCGCTTCCTCTCGTCGGAAGAGCCCGCCCTGGCTGAGCCTCTAACTAGGTCAGAGGGCAGGGCCTGCCCAACCCCCAGCGAGTCTGGGAGCAAGATTCAGATATTCGCTATTCTATTCGCGGGACCCCTTCCTCCCCCCGCAGATCCAGGCCCAGAGACTTGAGGCCGCCCCCCTACTCCCCACCGCCCCCATCCCCACTCACTGCAGCCACCACTGCCGCCCAGCGCCGGGGCTGCCGGTCCATGGCCCGGTGCCTCGCCGCTCTGGGCCCTCAAGCGCGACTGGAAGGGGCAGGACAGGCATGTGCCTGCGGGGGCTTCCCCACTCTGCCCGCCCTGCCCACCGCAGTTCCGGCCCAGCACCCAGCCGCAGGGCCCGCCCCCTGCCACCCGTGAGCCTGCCTGCCTCTGTGGTGGGGGTCGGGGAACAGCCCAGGGGCCCTGGAAGTGGAGCCCTGACCTGGGGGGGGCCTCACAGGGGTGGCAGGGGGCGGGCAGCAAGGTGCACAGAGCACAGGGCTGCTCTGGTGCCCAGCCTGGCTTCCAGCCTCAGCCCTGAGACCACCACTCCGGGGTGAAGTAACTTCCTCCACGGGGTTTCAGAGCCAAGCCCCTGCAGATGCTGTAAGGTGTGGGTGCAGGGGCCCCTCCTCTGGAGAGGAGCCCGAGACTCCCGGTGAGCCCAGGACAGGTCGCCCACCCCGGCATAAGCTCACGGGGCAGCCCAGGCAGGCACCATGAGGGGCTCTAACGGTGGACCTCATGGCTGTGTAGGGGATGGGTTGGTTTTGGGGTGTTGGGCTGGTGGCCTCTGCCCCCTAATTCACTGTTGCTCCCCGCGGTCTCTCCCCCGGTGCCCCACCACAGATGGGGGGACAAGAGCTCAGTCCCCGAGTCCTGAAAAGGGTGGGTTCCGAAAGCAGAGGCCTCCTTCCAGTGGCGTATGTACAAGTCTTTATAAAAGAATCAAAGCTCAATAAATATGCAACTTTACAGCGAGCCCAGCGGGCCTGGGGGCGAGAGGGAGGCGAGGGCAAGCGACTGTCCCATCTGGGGCCAGAGGAGGGTGGAGGTGGGTGGCCCTGGAGCCCAGCGCAGTGGAAGCTGGTGACTTCAGGGAATAGCAGACGAGGAATCCTGCTGGGCTGGCGGGCGGGAGTGGGGGTGGGCGCAGGTTAGTGACGGTGGGGACTATGGGGCCATCCTGAGCCTGGGCCTCTGCCGAACCCTCCTCCATCTCCATCCAGTCTGGCCAAGTGCAAACGGCCCAGCGGCGGCAGGGGTCCGGCCCGGCACTCGTCTTGTGCGCACACGGGCAGCAGCTGGAGCAGGGCCGCACTCCCCCAGAGGCCTGCTGTCTGCTGTCCGTGGTCAGTGGCACCCTTGGGGGCCTCCTTCTGCTCAGACCTCCCTGCAGGGGAGGGGAGGGGAGAGACAGTTCTTCCTTTGCTGATGCCACTCAGAGGGACTCCAGCCACCCTCTCCTCCCCGCTACAATTCTGACCTCTGACCCCTCACCACTGCTGGCCGAAGACACCCTCAGCCAAGCTCTGGGGCAGGCCTTGGGCTCCCTCTTCCATCCATAGCCCTGGGTACCACCTGCTCCAGCCATGACTGCGCCCCTACCAACCCCCAGGGCTCAGTGCCCCCAGTGCCAGCACGCTGGGCCGCCGGCCCTCTCCACCCCAGGTAGGCACTCACGAGGCGGTGAGCGTGGAGTTCAGCAGCAGGGTGGTCCTGATGCGGTAGAGCTGGGCCAGCGTCAGCTTCCTGTGCTGGGCAGAGATCCCGGGGGGTGGCTCAGGCTGGACCCTGGGGGAGGCCCCTGAGAACAGCTCTCTGCTCCTCCTGGCGGGCCCTTCGGGCTCCCCCGCCAGGCAGGCGGTCCTGCCCTCCATCTCTAATGGCTGGGAGCCACTGCCAGGGCTGGGTGCGCCCCCGCAATTCCAGCGGGGCCCATCTTCGTGAGGGGAGCCCCGAGTCCTCATGCCAGTGGCTGTGGCAGCCAAGCAGAGTTCCGACCTGCTGCGGCTGGGGGCTGGGGGCGCCCCCTGGGTGGCGGCCCCTGCCAGCAGCTGCAGGAGGCTGGCCTCAGATTTGGACTTGAGCAGGTGGGGCAGGCGGGGCAGCAGCTGGACAGGGGTGCGGCGGCGGAGGCGGGGCGAGGGCGGGGGTGAAGGGGCTTGTGGTAAATCTAGGGGCCGGGGCGCTGGCTCCGCCGCAGGGGCTGGGGTCGCAAAGTCTTGCAAGGAGGTGGGGGAGAGGGTGCCGTAGGCGGAGTCCATGGAGCAGGAGCGGCCGTCCCCGGGGCCCAGGGCCAGCAGCTCGCTGGTCGGCGTGACGGACGAGGCGGTGGTACTGAGGGACATCTCGTCCGACTGGGAGCTGAAGGGGCCCCCCTCGAACTCGGGAGAGGACAGCGTCTCCCCGGGCTCCAGCACCACCATGGCCAGGGTCTCTGTGGAGCCGTCCGAGGCGCTGCAGGCCGGGAAGGGAGTCAGTCCCGGCAAAGGAACCCCGTGCAGCCCCGGCTGGGCACAGCAGGGGCCCACAGCCTCGGCCCTGCCCGCCTGAGGCTCAGAGATGGCCAACATGGCATAAGCCCAGATCCCCCAGCTCCTGTGCCCACAGCGGACATCAGCATGGCATCCGTCTCCATCACGGGACACAGCCTGAGCACCCTCAGCTCGCTCCAAGCAGCTACTAATGAAGCAGAGTTGGCGGCAAGTTGAAAAGCCTTTGCCAGCCCTGCCTAGACTCTGGTGCTCCCACACCAGAACCCACACCCGCTCCCTGCTGGGTTCACAGCATGAAGCCATTCCGAGAAAGGAACTGGAGCCGGGCCCAGCCTGGGGGTCAGGAGCCCCAGGTTGCAGTGCCTGCCCTGCCTGGCATGGCCTGCTGGGGGTCCTGGGCAAGCGTACCAGTGCTGGGAGTCCAGGCTGTTGCTGCTTTTGCGCAGGATGGTGGGGGAGCTGGCGGCGGAAGTGCTACTCTCCCCACCCTCCTCATCCTCCTCATCTTCCTCCTCGTCCTCCTGCTCATCCTCCTCCTCCTCCTCTAGGCTCTGCAGGTGCTGCTGGCTGCCCGTGTGCTCCTGCGCACGCAGCTGCTGCAACTGGTTCTGCAGGCGGGGGCGGCGTCCACAGGGGCAGGTGGGCTGTGAGCCGCAGCCCCACCAGGCCGCCCGCCTGCCCGCCGCCCGGCATTCTCTCACCTGGGCATTGTAAATGGAGTCCACCCAGCCCCGGCACAGGGCCTGCCCGCTGGCCTGGAACGTGTAGGCCCCCACGGCGCTGTGGAACTCGTTCAGGTAGATGAGGAGGAAGGAGCCTGCTTAGGAAGGGCTCGAGTCAGTGTCCGCCAAGACCTCTGCCTGCCCTGCCCATCACAGCCCTGGCCCAGGGGCAGGGGGCGGGCTCCTCACCAGGGTCCCGCAGCTCCCGGCACACGATCTTGTCCACCAGCAGTGGCGGCCTGATGACCTTGGTCCTCTCAGCCTTCTTCACTGCCTTGGTCACCAAGAGCAGGTCCGTGAAGAGGAAGCAGTACACATCCATCTGGGGGGCAGGGGGAGCAGGAGAGGCCAGGGGTCAGAGCCAGGGTCCTGGGGCCTCAGGCAGGGACCCTCCGCCTGCCTGCTGCAGCGCCCTCTCCTGGGGGTACTCAGACTTGGTCAAACACCTCCCCTGTCCTCATGGCCATGAATGTGAGAGCAGAATTAAAAGGAACAGCAAGCCCTAGCTGGTTTGGCCCAGTGGATACAGCATCGGTCTGTGGACTGAAGGGTCCTGGGTTCGATTCTGGCCAAGAGCACATGCCCCAGGTTGTGGGCTCAGTCCCCAGTGGGGGGCGTGCAGGGAGCAGCCCATCGGTGATTCTCTTTCATCATTGATGTTTCTATCTCTCTCTCTCTTTCCTTTCCTCTCTTAAGTCAATTTAAAAAAGGAAGAACAAGACGATTTTCTTTCATTGAGCTATAGACTTGTGACTTATTTAAATTAAAACTTGATATTAAAGAGGAAAGGGAGGTAAATTTTATTTTATTTTTAATATATTTTTATTGATTTCAGAGAGGAAGGGAGAGGGAGAGAAACATCAGAGAGAATCATTGCTTGGCTGCCTCCTGCACGCCCTCTACTGGGGATGGAGCCTGCATGTGCCCTTGGCCAGAGTCGACTCGGAATCCTTCAGTACACAGGCCGACTAGCCACTGGGAGGCAACTTGCAGGCTCTGGGCTACATGGCGCATGACAGATTACTAGCTCAGTGCAAGTGTCTGTTCCTGGCCTGCTAACGGAGTGTGCCCCTCCCTCCCTCCCTCCCACCAGAAACCACATGGCATCAAGTGGGCAAGACAGGCACCCACGGGCTGTGGCCATGCTGCTGGATTTGTAAAGCGCCAACTGCAGGCAGATAATCATCCCTCATAGACCACAAGGTCACTAGTTCTTGAATCACCACCCAAATGACTGGGCAGCTGAGAACCACTGGCTCCACCCAGGAGGTGGCCCAAACCTGCAGGGCAAGCGGGGGCGGGGCAGGGGCCCTGCACACGGGGTGGCCCCTAGAGTCACCTTGCTGTCCTTTCCCTCCTTCATCCTCAGGCTGCCCTCCAACAGCAGCTGACGCGTCTCCTCGGGGGAGGCACCAGGGATGGGCGCGGTCAGGTCCAGGTGCAGGAATTCCTTCAGGAGCTGGGGGGGGAGGGCAGGTGCGGGGGGGTCAGGTGCGGGGGGTCAGGGCTGACCTCCCAGCTCAGCGAGGATTCCCCACGCGAGACTCACTCCAGCACCTCCCTCCTGCCAGTCTGGCCCCTTCTCCCTCCCAGCAGGGTCAGGCTGCCCACCTTGTCCACCTCGTCGTTGCTACCCTCCACCACCTCGTAGGCGTCGATGCGGCTCACCACGGCCGCCAGCCGCTGCCGCTCCTGTCGCTGCCGCATGCACGCGTTCA